CCGTGTTCTAGACGCGTTTTGAGCTCCAGAGTCGCTAAATGGCACTCGAACCGAACGTGTGACCCCACCAATGGATGGCTCTCCGAACGAGGAATCCATTGGTGGGGTCACTCTGAGGCGGAAAGCCCCGTGCCGTCTGACTGTTCCGCTCTTCACGGTGTAGTTACCCCATTCGTCTTGATCCGCATAACATCCTTGTAAACACGGTGATATCGGGCAGGAAGGCGCGCCGCGTTGGGGATACGGCACGACCCACTATTTAGCATGCATTCATTCACGGCGCACAGCCAAGGCACCGGAAAGGCAGTGCGCGCGGTGCGGCTCGCATTACACTCTAGGCGCAATCGGAGGAAAGAACTGCATCAAAAGTATAGAGAAGCCTCTGTTCTGTATACGTCATGGCGTCCAGGACCATGCGTCGTCTGTCTGTCTGTCTGCCTGCCTGTCTGTCTGCCTGTCTGTCTGTCTGTCTGTCTGTCTGTCTGTCTGTCTGTCTGTCTGTCTGTCTGTCTGTCTGTCTGTCCGTCCGTCCGCACGTGCTGGCCCAACCCTTCCTCCCACACTGCGTGCATGCCTCGCGTGTGACAGCATCGGTGCGGTACCCCCTCTGGGTCGTCGACCCCCTCGCTGTATTCTTCCCGCGTCGCCCCCCCCTCTCTCTCTCTCGCACGACTACGTGCCCCGCATCATTCCGCCTCGTCACTTTCGGTGATAAGCAAAACAACGAGCGTCTGGTAGTGATTCGCCGGTGTTTCGCGCGTTTTTTTATTCCCCTTTGTTTTTATTCGCCATGTTTCTCGCCTTTTGTGATTGTTGTTTGGCTTTGTTGTTGTTGTTGTTGTTGTTGTCGTTGTTGTTATTGTTGTTATTGTTGTTGTTGTTGTTGTCTGGCGTCGCCTTGAATGAGCGCCGTGGCGATCTCATTACTCCCCGTGATGAGCGTCCTGGGAGTCCTGGGAGTCCTCCGGCGAGGCGAGGGGCGGCCGAAGAATGGCGGCGCTGACCTTTGGCGGTCTCGCCCCGCCTGGTCTGGCCGGTCGGCCGGCCGGACTGGACTCACAAGGGAAATTGATTTGCTCTCATAAGGTGATAATCGCATCTCCAGGTACTCTCCTCTCCGTACTCTCCGCTGGCATTCGCGCGTTTCCAAGCGCGCGGCGTGTGGTTCGTTTCTTCGACGCTGACCAAAGAACACTTTAAAAAAAAAATTGTTTTGATTTCTGCTGAAGTTTTAAAATAAATATTTCTCGACGAGTCTTGAATGTCCGCGGCGGTAATGTTGGTCATGAAGATTCTTAACTTTTGCTAATTCGGCCCGCCTCTTTCTAACACCTTTGGGCATCAAGCGTGCCGCCCGTTTTCTCAGCATTCTTTCCTCCTCTCTCTCTCCCTCCCTCTCGCCACGGGCGGCGCGCTCTGCCTCTCCTCGTCGCACCCACTGCGCAAGGCAGACACTACTTGCACTACTGTGTGACCCGGGCGCGCAGTGTACCGCCACTTCGCGAGTGGGAGCGAGACGGCCGCGCAGTGTGCCGCCTCTCCGCGAGTGCGAGTGAGACGGCAGTGCGACCCGCCTCGCCTTTGTCGGCCTTTCGGCTCGCGTTATTTCGCCAGTGTGGTTCCCATGGTGATTATCGAGCCGCGATCATCACGCCCTGATCTTGATCTCTTGGCCAACAATCAGGCAGCAGGCAAACGAGTCAAGGTCCAGGGAAATTGATCCCAATGACTGCCGGCCCAGTTCTTGGGCGTCTTCCGTATGACGAGGACCACGTCGCACAGTGGGCCAGAAAACCGGTGGAGGTGGCCGGAATTCCAGACGCGTTTTGAGCTCCAGAGTCGCTAAAAAAGACTCGAACCGAACGTGTGACCCCACCAATGGACTCCTCGCTCGGAGAGCAATCCATTGGTGGGGTCACACGTTCGGTTCGAGGCCCATTTAGCGACTCAGGAGCTCAAAACCCGTCCGAGATTTTGACCGCTTTTTCGTGGATTTCCCAATTTATTTTTAACAGTGGATGAAGCAAGCTCTGATGTCAACCAGAGTGTCCCCACACTGAAAGCACGCACCATCACTTCTCACTGCCGATGTGAGTGGGACACCGCGTGGTTTCTCGCGCTGCCGTGCGTGCAAGTCTCCAGGCTGGATCTCGCGCCACTCCGGCCTGTCTGCCGCTTATCTGCACTTCTGGAGTGACCCTTTGCGTCGCTCTGCAAGGCCCGGCTCCTTCCCTACCACCCCGCTCCATTCCTCGAGTGTCCCTTTTGCAGCTCACGGCCTTGCGCTCAGTCTAGCCGCGGCCCACAGAGGGCCAGAAGACCGGTGGAGGCGGTCAAAGCTCTGGACGCGTTTTGAGCTCCAGAGTCGCTAAATGGGACTCGAACCGAACGTGTGACCCCACAAATGGATTGCTCTCCGAACGAGGAATCCATTGGTGGGGTCACACGTTCGGTTCGAGTCCTATTTAGGGACTCTGGAGCTCAAAACGCGTCAGGAATTTCGGCCGCATCCACCCACGGTGCGTTCGAGTCGGTGTGTCCCTTTTCCACCGCGTGGCCTGGCACAGCAAAGCGCTAGCCGGTTGGCCGGCGTGTCCACTCGTTTGCCACTTTACTTTTCCATCACTTCATCATGTCCGCTGGACGTGCATGCGCCGCGTGGCCAAGGCACGGCGCGCCATTGGCTTCCCGGCGGAGCTTTCTCGCGTGAGAAGAAAAAGACGTGCATGGAGGAGGCGCCATTCAAGGGGCCTGCCACCGGCCGGCCCCTCTCTCACGTGAAATGGGATACTGCACTGCATGCAAAACATGCAGGCCGATGCAGCATGGATGCAGCACGCGCCTTGTCACCGCCTGCCACCGTCGCTCCGTCTCTCTCGCACGTCAACGGGACGCGCCATGAGTGCGAGAGAGACAGAGCGACGACTCTCGGAAGCAGTCTGCTGGCTTTCCACAACGGCTGCCTCGGATGCCATAGCGTTCTCATGCGCACCCTCATCCAAGCTTCTTATCTTATACCACCACACGGTAAAAGAGGGTGGTGACCACTTCTGCTCAGTACAGTGTTTGCACACTGTAAAAGAGCTTCAAGTTTGAGCGGTAAACACGGCTATCGCTTCGTGCTAATGAACATGAATTTTCCCCTCGGCCTCGCGAAAGGCTACCCTACTCAATCACAGTGCTCCCGATCCTGCGGACTGAGGGTCGTTTTCGTCGCTCTGTCTCTCTCGCACTCAAGGGGCGCCCCGTATAGGTGCGAGAGAGACGGAGCGAATCAGTCTGCTGGCCTCTAGTCCGATCGCGGCTAAGTGAAAACTAAAGCACCGCCAGGCGTCCTTCCTCGGACGGAATCTGCTTCCTCGTGCCGGACGGTCCATTTCGTCGCTCTGTCTCTCTCGCACCTTTGCGGAACGCCGCGTGAGTGCGAGAGAGACAGAGCGACGAAACCGACTCCCAGTGTGCCGGCCTCACCTTCGCAGCGCGCCACCGTCCGTTCTCAAACTGACGACACTGCTCTCTTTACGACTCCCTGCTTGCGAGGGGCACGCAAATGCGCACTGGTAGCGGCGCGGCGACCTACAGCAGACTCATTCCGAGAGTCGCTTTCGTCGCTCTGTCTCTCTCGCACTCACGAGGCGTCCCTTACGGGTGCGAGGGAGACAGAGCGACGAAGACGACTCTCGGAAGCAGTCTGCAGGCAGGCTTTGCTCCGCTCGGGCGCGCGAGGGATTTCTCCCGCCAAAACTAGCGGCTGTTCTCATCGCCAGGTTCGCCAACTGCCTCGTTGTGAGGCTTGCAATTGCGAGGCTCGCGGGGCGTGCATGTTGCATGCATGTTGCATGCCGAACCAATCAGAGCGAGATGGCACCGCCGAGGCACAGCACAGCCGGCACACAATAAGACACCTGCTGCAGGTGCGGCCGGCCCGGCCAGCCCTTTCACTCCCAAGGGCACGGCCTGGGCAGGGCCTGGGCAGGGCGATGGGCAACGCGGCTCGCTCGGCGCCACAAAAACAAGCCGCCTCAACGACCACTGCACTGCCGCGGCATGCCGCCCGAAGGGTCGCTCCGTCGCTCTGTCTCTCTCGCACCCCTGCGGCCCTACGGGACGCCCCGTGAGTGCGAGAGAGAGAGAGCGACGTTCCTTCGGAATGGCGGCATGCCGCGGGGAGGAGCAGCGCGCTCGGACGGCCGGCCGGATGAATGGAAGCAGCGCAACACGCCACTGCGCTGTGAGTGCCTGGTGAACGGTGTGTCCGGGAACCACCTCCCCACAGTGGGCCAGAAGACCGGCGGAGGCGGACAAAACTCTAGACGCGTTTTGAGCTCCAGAGTCGCTAAGTTTGACTCGAACCGAACGTGTGACCCCATCAATGGATTCCTCGTTCGGAGAGCAGTCCATTGATACCCTCGAGCTATTCCATTCGAGGAAGTCGGCTTGTCGGTCTTTACGCCCTGCTCGTCCAGCTCCGCGATGTCCTACACCGTGTCCGGTACTAATCTGAATGTCGCGATGACCGGAAGCGCCTCTGCTTCCGGTTCGTCTCCGGGATCGGATTGCGCCCCGCTGGCCGCTGGGCTGGCTGCCGGGCTGGCCGCCTGACCGGCCCTTGAGTACCAGTGTACCGGCGTACCGGCGTACCAGTGTATCGGCTCGTGATCTCGGTCGGTAATTAGTTTGCCGGACGGCGGCTGGACACTCCCCGCCCTGCCCCGCCCTGCCCCGCCCTGCCCCGCCGCACCGATTCACGGAAAGCGAGCGGAGCAGAGTCAATAAGATCGCAGATTGCGAGTTCTTGTTTTTTGAAACGTCGCGTTTGCACAGCGGAGAAAATAGCGTCTGCGAAGATAATAATAACTACCATGTATTATAATAAAAAGGCGATAACAACAACGAAAACAGTGACTACGCCATGTTCAACACCAACCGCCGTGGACTAGCTTGTTTCGGACATTCTCGAGGAACGCAGTCTAACGAGTGGTTCTCTCTGTGTGTTTCAGATGGGGCGGAGTTGGCGGGGGGGCACCCTATTGGGGCTGCTCGCCACCCTGGCCACCCTAGCAGCCCTAGCCACGGCGGACGACAGTGAGTACCCAACCTGATGCCTACTTCTTTGGAAAAGAGAGAGAGAGACAGAGAGAGAAAGATTTCAGGGGGTGGGGGAATGTGTGTGAGTGTGCTGCCAGACATGTACTCACAAGATTATTGATAAAGAGGGGTGCGTTTTCTTCCAGTGGACGTGAGGCCGCGGGGACACCCTACCGCTCCTGGGTGTTCCCCATGGCTTGCCTTTCGGGCCTGCGCGGCGGGACACCGCACACACGCGCCTCGCACGCACGCGCACACACACACACACACGCACACACGCATCGACAGGTGTCGCCACTCCGTGCCTGCAATAACACGCACTGCTTTCTTCCTCCTCGAAAGGCAGCGCCAATGGGCCCGGCCTGCACTCCCGTCGCTCTGTCTCTCTCGCACCCCCGCGGGAGGGGCTTCCCCATGAGTGCGATAGACAGAGAGAGAGAGAGAGAGAGGCGGCCTGGCGGGGTGCCCTCTGATTGAGAGTGACGGCGTCCGTGTCCGTGCACGCCTCGCGTTCGCCTCGCGTTCGCCTGGCGGTCCCCTGTGACGGCGCGGGAAACACCAACCCCAGCATTCGCGAGTTTTACGGCTTTTCCAGACGACAGTGGAGGTGCGAGGCGACGGCTGTCTTCTCGCGTCCCGCAGACTGACTGACGGACCGACACCCAGCGGCGCCGCCCGACCGCGCACCGCGCACTGCGCCGCACACGTGTGGTCACTTCGTTCAGATCCAATGTCCTTGCGCAACCCGCGGGCCGCCGGTGTGTGCACTGCTTTTGTCTGGGGGTGCACTGGATATTCAGAGGCAGTGCAGTGGCAGTGCAAAAAAAAAAAAAACAGTTTTGCTATTAAATAGTTTAGGTTTTTTTTTCATAGTCATGACTGACTTGCAAGGCAATGACTTTTCTTCCTAAGCTAGGGAATCCCGTAATTAAATCACCGCTATCCAGTCTGTCATCGCGCCCGAAGAGGCAGGCACTCGGCCTGGCCGTATAATTATGACACGTGGGTTATGTCACACCCGCCCCGCCCCGCCCCGCCCCGCCCCGCGCGGGAGCGTCTGCTCAATCAGCCGTGATCGGCCCCTGGAATACCCAGCAACAAGTGGTCGCCCCCCCCCCCCTCCACCGTCGGCGGGCAGGTGCGTGAGTTATGTGCCCCTCTTTCGTTGCCCCCCGCACGTAAAACGCTCGGACCGCTCTGGGCCGGTCAACGGCCTTCACGCCCGGACCGAGAGAGAAGAAGAAGAGGTTGAGAAAAATCACCTGTTTCTGTTGAATAATGCCTCTATCATCGTTTTTAGCCGCTTTTTCGTCCTCCTCCACGTAACGCGGTGTTACTCCGCCGGGACGAACGACTTCGATATCCCCGTCAAGGTCATTGCGTCAGCGAGGGCGGCGTCGCGTCGCGTGGAGAAGGATGGGAATAGAGCGGCGATGATCCGAAGGGCCAGAGGCAGCCAGGGGCAGCCAAAAGCAGGCTGAGGGCTGTAAACATGCCGGCTCGGTGGACCGCGTCGGACGTCGGCGACGTCGGCCGAGCTGGGGCTTTTGGCGCGCCTCTGCTTATGCAACACCGGTCATGCCCGCGGGCGGCCAGGCCTGGAGAACAGGCAGAGGGTATCAGTGTCCGGGGCAGGGCGGTGTGGCAGGCAGGGCCCACCCCGTTTTCGGCCCAGCCGCTTGCTTTGACGCTCCGGCGCGTGTTCCTCTGCCTCCCGGTACCTCATTTGATAAACGACATTGTCAGTCACTAAGCCAAGTATCGAAGTATGCCTATGAGAGATTTCGTCGTGTCATCGCGTGTAGGTCGAGCTGTAAACCAATCGACTCCACGGCGTTGTCTTCCACGGTGCACTCTCCGCCACGCGGCCTGCCGCGCCCCCGCCGGCCGTCGACGTCCTCGGCGTCCTCCGAGCACTTGGAGGTTCGAGACCTCGAAGCCGCCGTCGAGAGAGATATGACTGAAACCTGTCCGTTCCGGGCGACGCGCGGAGTAAAAGGATGAGGCCGATGGCGGCCAAGGACACGACGAGGCGACGACGGCACCCCGACGGCGACACAGAAGCGCCTGCACGCCCCCACTCCCCACCCACAGTGTGCGTATGCACACACACTCACACACGCACACGCAAGCAAGCGCACAGGTTTGAGTTTCATAACGCAAGTGGGTGCGTAGCAGTGCGTGGATCAGGTGGGAGACCCCGCCGCCGCCACTGCCGCCGACTAGCTGGAATGCACTTGGGGGCGAAATCTATTAAGCACGGTTAAACATGAAGAAAAAAAAATGAAAATTTCGAAAACAAAGAGAGTGCGTCGCTTCTGATTTTAAACATTTTTTTTAAAATGTCCAACCGAATCGACAAGGATTAATATTTTGTCATGTCAGTGAAGGGTGACGGTGCGGGGCGACTGAGCCGCTGAGCCGCTCATGACGCGACCGCTTCTTCCTCGGCGCATCGGTGCCCCCCCCCCTCCCCTCCCCTTTCTCCGTGACCTTGGCCCTTCCCTTCCGGCTCAGCCCAACGACCCGGCCCATGACGCGGCACCTGCCTTTGCACCGTGTCTCGAGTATGGGAAAAAGACTCCCGGATTCTAAAAAATTAATAAAAAATTAAATAAAACGGATTTTTGTTTTGATTTCCGCAATGCTGTCAAAAAGACGGGTCGTCTTTTTTTGTTGGCCTGGTCGGTCGTCGGACTGTGGCGGGCTTCGGACGTAACTGACGCGCCGCGTGTGTGCGTGGTGCGTGGGTTCACCACACAGACACGCCCGTATTTTTCCGGGTCAGTCGGCCTCCGGGCCGGGCCGGGCCGGGCCGCCTAGCCGGACTGGACGGTCGGAACGTCGGAACGAGCAGCAGGTGCCTTTCTTCACTTTTATTTTCGAATGACCGGCGCGCGGCCTTTGCCCGGTGACTCACCGCCGGAATCGCTGTCAATGAAGCTATTTTGGGGCTCTGCCTCCCGGAAGCCGCCGACGGCCACTCGGTGCGGTGCACATGGAATTTTCTAGTTTTTAGCTGTTTTTTGCTCGGTTTTTTGGGGGCTAACTTTGCCCACTGGAACGGTGCGGCATGAAGGCAGTGTAGTGCACGCGTGAGAACTTACACCGGCAGCGGCAGTGTCCCTTCATTTGGACGAGATCTTAAAGTCGTGGGGTCGCGGTTTTGGTCCCAGGTCCCCTAGCCTTGCCCCAGTGAAGAGAGAGAGAGGGGGGGGGGCACGACAAACGATTTCGCGGTTCAAGCTCATGTCCTTCCAGCTTTAAGTGTCAACAGGAAAAACGAAAAATTTTCGCTAAAAATGAGAGTTAAAATTGTTTTTTGAAAATATTTTATTTGCAAGTTTCAATAAATTTCTGAACGAAATTGAAATGCGGGTGGCAGGGGCCGGCTGATGAAACGGCCCCTGTGCTACTCCAGTGCTACTCCTCGCGCGCCCCGTCCGCTGCAGTGCCCCAGCAGCACGCTCCAGCACGCTCCAACCAGCCAATCGCCATTCCCGGCGCGTTAATTCCCACGGGGCACAACATTGCGGTTCGGGTTGCGACTCACTCAAACGGACACTGATTGGAAGGCAAAGCGGCGACCCAGAAAGGGCGTGGACGCGTAGCGCGATCTTTCAACTGGTCACCCCCCCCCCCCCCACAAAAAAAAACTATACTGTTTTGTTTGATTCCTTTCGCCAAAATATTCATTTTGAGACAGTATTTTCTCTAACTAAAATTTTCCAGTGTGGAATTTTTTCTTCAAAAAATAAGCCATTACACCTTGGAAGTTCGCCTGCTAGGAGCGTGCCCTGCCCTTCAAATACCCGCGACCGGCGTTTAATTTCCTGCCGAGAGCTTGCTCCGCCGCTGTTGCAACCGGCTACAAAATCGTGCTGATTTCTAGTGTAGGCTGGCGCGGTCGTCGAAGGGCGGCTCGACTGGCCTAGGCTGCCCGGCTGGCCCGGCCGGGGCGCGAAATGACACGTTGCTGTGGCAACGCGGTGATAATTCCGCCGTCGTGGCGAAACGGATAACGCTGTGCGCGTAGTGCCTGGCAGTGCCTGGCGGTACCGCGTGGGCGGCGATCATGAGGCTTTCGGGGGCCGGCTGGCCAGTGCAGTGCCGGCCAGCCATCAGCCGCGGCCTCTCATTAGCGCCTCGCCTTTACGGCGGCTATCGAGAGATTCGATATATCGAGTCGGTGTGAAGCCAAGGGGAAAGCACGCCGCCCACCCTTTCACCAAGACATTTTTCGTTTCTTGTTTCCAAAAACAAAAAGGTGAAGGAAATTTGTTTTCAGTATTTTAATTTACGGATTTTTGACACACCTAAATTCATCATTGGCCCCGAGGTTGAACCGCATACGAAACCCTCGAAATGCCTTTGTCGGTGCGAGGAGAAATAAGAAGACGAGTGGCGCGAAAAGCGAAAAGAAAAAGGCGAAGAAGAAAGGATAGGAAGGTGAGGGGTCAGCAATTACCATATTACCGTCGTGCTGCTCGTTGTTGGTGCAACGGTGATGCAATAATGCGTCGCGCGGCTCGGCACGGCCCGGCTAGCCGCCACGGCTCGGTACGGCTCGGTACGGCACGGCGCGCTTCACGCGTAGCGCACGCAGCTGATCCGCGTCTAGAAGTGCAGGCAGCAGGCTGAGAGTCGTTGTCGTCGCTCTGTCTCCCTCGCACCTACATGGCGCGCCCCATGAGTGCGAGAGAGACGGAGCGACGACTCTCGGAAGCAGTCTGCAGGCGGGGGCTCGGCTCGGCCGGCTCGGCGTGGCGGGACGCGCTAAACAGCGATAAACGGAGACTGGCGCGCGTCACCGCGTCGCCGTGCTCGCGAGCCCCGCCGCCAGGCTGCCAGGCTCAAACCGAAAGCGGACCGCTCCGCTTTCTTCCGATCTTCCTCACGCGTCTGGTTCGACTCTCAGGCACAACTAACTGCAGTTTTCCCCCAAACAACAAGCAATTTTCGACTTGAGTTTTTGAATTTGTGTTCCTTATTTTCGAATACTAGGTGGTTAGAGGGCTGTGTCGACCACTGGCACTGTGGAGGTTCCTCAAGTTCAAGCGCCCCATTGCGTAAAGTGCATCGCCTTGCTGCGGGCGCGTCGTGGCGGGGCGAGGCGGGGCGGGGCGGGGCAGAACGTCTGCCGGCCAGCAACTTGTCATTGAAAAGTGTAGACCGCATAACCGCACGGGGGAGGGGCGGGGGAAAGGGGGAGAAGCAAGAGCGGCTAAGGCGCATCCCGCTGGCATTGATCTTGACTGCATCTCATGTATTTGCATTCACAGTGCAGGCGCTCGCGCGGTTTGCATCGGACGCACATTTCGGCCCATGCAGCGTATGCAAGCGACTTCGTATGCACCCTGGTCTAGGCCGATTGAGGATAGGTCACACACACACACACACACACATCTCTATAGTTTCGCAAATTTATAATGAGCCGACAGCGCTCGGGTTGCCTCGCCTTTTGCTCGCTGGTTCGGCCTGGTTCGGCCGGGCCGCCGTCGACGTCGCTTGGCGGCAACGAGACAGGATATTACATTCTGCCTCCCGTTTAGCCACGGCGGGCGCGCATGCATGCAGGCGCGACCTCCGACCTCCCTCGAGTGTCAGTGGTTAGCAGTTGAAAATAATAATAAAATACAGTGTGCGGCTAATTTCTTTTTTTCACGCACGACTGCGTGGATCTGTCCTCAGCGCCGCTGGTACTTGGCCCCGGTGTGGGCCAAATGGTCGGGCGTCTGGGCCGCCTAGTCGACTAATCGTTCCGTGGCGAGCGAGGTCGCGGTGCGGGGGTGGGCCGCCGTGCCGCCGCGCCGCCGCGCCGCGGACAATGCGTTTGCTACTTAGCCAACAATTCGACGAGGAGTGCGCGCTGCGCATGGAAGGCTACGCGCGCGGGGGCGCATGCGGCGTCGCGGAGCATGAAGAGTGCGTGGTTGCTGTTTTCGGCCCCATCGGCAAGCCCATTGGTCAAGAGCCCGGTCAAATAGGCACACTTAACATTCTTTAGCGATTTTTGTTCATTTTTTTGCTATTTTTTTGCGATTTTTTAAAAAGATTGATTTTGTAAACGGCTAGAGATAAAATAAAAAGCTATGCATGAGATAAAATTCAAAGTTTAAATTTAAATTCAAGTTGTCTTGCGCGTGACTTTTTTTTTTTAAATCTCTAACCGTTAACGAGATGTCGGCACCCAATCTCGACAGACGTTGAGTTTGCACGCTGTGCCCACGCTGTGCCGATGGGCGCTGAGCTTTGTTTCCACAGTGGCGTGAACGGTGCCGCCGCAGCAAGTGAAGCACAGGATGCAGGTGGAGCGTCTGGAGATGAGGCCTGCGCACACGATAACGCAAGGCGCGCCGGCACACTGAGAGTCGTCGCTCCGTCTCTCTCGCACCCACGGGGCGTCCCTTACAGGTGCGAGAGAGACAGAGCGACGAACACGACTCTCGGAATCAGTCTGCAGGCAGAAGATGGGCAGGTTCGCGACGGAAAATGCCAAGGCTGGAGGATGGCGATGGCGGCTAGCTCGCATACCGCCAGGGCGGGCTGCTTCCCAACAGCGCTCTGTCTCTCTCGCACTCAGGGGGCGCGCCGTAGGGGTGCGAGAGAGACAGGCCGGACAAACACCCCGAGCCTCTTCCTTCGGTAAACGACGACAGCCAAAGGGCACGCCTCACGCAGGCAGAGAGTGGCGCCGCGCCGCCGCGTAACGCTTACAGGAAACGCGATCCAAAATAAAGGCTACCTTTTTTAGCAGAGTGAAACGGGCAGCCCAGTTTCCACATGTCCAAAGCGGCATGCACGTGTCGTATGAAAAAAAAGCAGCGTAAACGCGTGCATACAAAATGCACTTTTCCACGCGGAGGAGTCTCATGCCGCCCGCGACACACCCAACATTCTGGGAAAGGGTTTTACTGCTATAAATTACTCGCTGCACGTACGACCGGTGCGACGTACGCGGTGGGCCATTGTTCCCGCGGCGTTCCCATACGTATGCATGATGACGACCTTGAGGTCCACGCACAGCTTTACTTCGCGAAACACAGGGCACGCCCCGCCCCGCCCCGGTACACGACAACGTCAGGGCGGTGGCAGCGCCGCGCCGCCGCGCTCCGATTCGTGATGGTGGCGTTTGTCATCGGGCTAGTGAGGTCGTTGGCTCTATCGTGAGACTCGTCACGCCCCGGTCTAGTGTCGCACAAACGCGGGGAAAATTTTACACGCACGTCTACGTGCCTCTGTTGTTTTTAAACTGCACTTTTTTCAAAGTCTTTTTACAAGGTTTTTCAAAAAAATTTTAAAGAACTTTTTTAAGGTTATTTTGAAGTGTTTAAGGTTATTTTTCAAGTTTTTTTTAGGTTATTTTTCAAGTTGTTTGCGTTTGTTTTCAAGTTTTTAAAAGTTTTTTTTGTCAAAGTTTTTTTTGGAAGCATGGTTGTGTTCCCGCCGCCGTGTTCCTCCAGAGCGCTCGCAGTACGTAACACTGACTTTGTGCTGTTGCAGGCAACAAGCGGGTGGTGTGCTACTACACCAACTGGTCCGTGTACCGGCCCGGCACCGCCAAGTTCAGCCCGCAGAACATCAACCCCTACCTGTGCACCCACCTCATCTACGCCTTCGGCGGCCTCACCCGCGAGAACGGCATCCGCGCCTACGACAAGTACCAGGACATTGAGCAAGGTCAGTAACCAAAATGTCTTTGCTGACAGTGTACCGGACACTGCGCCGACCTGACGGCAGGCACAGTGGGCCAGAAGACCGGCGGGGGCGGTCAAAATCCCGGACGCGTTTTGAGCTCCAGAGTCGCTAAATGGGGCTTGAACCGAACATGTGACCCCACCAATGGATTCATCTCCGAACGAGGTCGCACATTTCGTTCGAGTCTATTTAGCGACACAGGAGCTCAAATCTCGTCTAGAGTTCCGGCCGCCTGCGCCGGTCTTCTGGCCCACTGTGGCAGGTGGCACCTCTTCAGTCTTCACTAAATCTCGCTCTGAAAGCGAAAAAATTATTCTCGTCGAAAAAAAATTGGTTTGGGCACCCGATTAAGTCCGCGACAGAACGACCGAAGATTCTGAGGGTTTTCTCTCGGCAGAATTAAAGAAGGAGCGAGAGTCGGATGAGAGAGTTGTTGACAGTTGGACAGCCGCTGCCCTTCTTCCACTCCGGTGATGAGCCACACTCTCCTGCCTTCGCGCCGCCGCGTCGCGTGTCGAGCCATTTCGAAAAGCGCAATCTTTGACGACCTGTTGCGCTCCGGATGAAAGGGAGAGGGGGGGAGTCCATCCGGATGACACGCGCCGCGGAGAAACTGGATCCACTTTACAAGGCGCCTCTACAACAACGCCTGCCCAGTGGAGGAGAGAGAACCCGAGCTTTTATAATCCCATTGTTCAGTTCTCTTTTTATTTTTTTCATGGGTGATGTGATTATATTGTCGTTGGAATGTTTCTTGTTGACTTTGCTGCTGACAAAGCCGTTAGTGTTTAGTGCTAGGGAAATGAATTCGGCAATTATTTAGAATAATAATGCGAAAAATGATTTTGATCTTTGTATTGGTGTGGCCTGAGTGCTATGAGGGCCCTTTTCAGCAGTGGCGGCTCTGCGCGGCCTCCAGCGGGGCCGGCGTGTTATTATACGAGCCAGCCCGGAGACGAGACTCGTCCTACAGTGACGCAGCAATAGGAATCAGACGATCCGTTTTCGGTTTTGATATTCGAACGGCCGTGACCTTCCCGCCCTGCCGAGCCAGCCGCGTCGCTCTGTCTCTCTCGCACCCGTGCGGCCCTTCGGGACGGCCGACGAGTGCGAGAGAGAGAGACAGTCTGCTGCAGGGCGCGTCGGGGCGCGTGCATCTCGATCCCGAAATCGGAGCTCAGTGTCACGCGGCGCCACGCATAGGTCACACGGCCAGAACAAAAGGCGGTTTGGGGGGCGGAAAAGGGGGGGGGCACAATGCCGCGGCCCAGGGTCAGTGCCGCGCTGCCGCGCCACTACACTAAGTGGACGGCCCACTCATTTCGTTATGAGAATTTCGTCACGCCAAAATTGTTCCCTCGGAAAAGGCAAAATTGGGATCGAGAATGGAGTGCGTTTATTGGAATTCCCCTCGCGGTTACGCAAGCCGGTGGCGGCGGAGCGCGACCGGGCGGGGACGAAAAAAAAAGGCCCCGTTTTGGAGAGGTACTTACCGACCCTGTCATTAAGGCGTTCGGAAACGGTTAGTCGGAGGACGCCGCGGGCCATGTCCTGGCCTAGGTCCTGGACGGGGTCCTGGACGAGGTAATGCCGCCGGTAATCGCTCTTCATTTCCCCGTTCGATCGCGGAGCCTGGCGGAGCCTGGGCGAGCCGCGCCCGGCGATGAAGACATTGTCGCTCTGTCTCTCTCGCACCCACGGCGCGGCCCGGCGGAGCGAGAGAGACAGGAGCAGTCCGCAGCGTGTTGCGTCTGCGGTGCAGCAGTGGCGCCACACGCTGCACCGCACAGTGGGCCAGAAGACCGGTGGAGGCGGACTAAACCCTAGACGCGTTTTGAGCTCCAGAGTCGCGAAATGGGACTCGAACCGAACGTGTGACCCCACCAATGGATTGCTTTCCGAACGAGGAATCCATTGGTGGGGTCACACGTGCGGTTCGAGCCCTGTGTAGCGACTCTAGAGCTCAAAACGCGTCTAGAGTTTTGGCCGCCTCCACCGGTCTTCTAGCCCACTGAGCGCCGTGCCAGTGCCAGATCGTTCGGTAATAAAATGTGTCTCCGTTCACAGGCGGCTACGCCAAGTTCACGGGCCTCAAGAGCTACAACAAGCAGCTCAAGACGATGCTGGCCATCGGCGGCTGGAACGAGGGCTCGGCGCGCTTCTCCCCCATGGTGGCCGACCCGGAGCGGCGCGCCGAGTTCGTGAAGAACGCCGTGCGCTTCCTGCGCACCAACCACTTCGACGGCCTGGACCTGGACTGGGAGTACCCCGCGTACCGCGACGGCGGCAAGCCCGCCGACCGCGACAACTACGCCGCCCTGGTGCAGGAGCTGCGCGAGGAGTTCGACAAGGAGGCCAAGAAGACGGGCCGGCCGCGCCTGCTGCTCACCATGGCCGTGCCCGCCGGCATCGAGTACATCGACAAGGGCTACGACGTGCCGCGCCTCAACAAGTAAGTCCTCGTCCTCGTGCACGCCAGTGGGGGTTGCACAGTGGACCAGAATACCCCTGGAGGCGGCCAAATCTCCAGACGCGTTTTGAGCTCCAGAGTCGCTAAATGGGACTCGAACCGAACGTGTGACCCCACCAATGGATTCCTCGTTCAGAGAGCAATGCATTGGTGGGGTCACACGTTAGGTTCGAGTCCTGTTTCGCGACTCTGGAGCTCAAAACGCGTCACGAATTTCGGCCGCCTCCACCTTGGCTCACTGTGCACTGGGAACGATGACCATACCCCCCCCAAAAAGCCTACTCGAAAAGGCATCACTGAGGTTCAAAATCATGGCCCAGACCGTCGGAAAGGCATTGCAGAACATTCGCGACACGCCCACCGACCCGACCGCCCAGGAGGTCACCATCAGTCTGCCATCTTTGTGCATTACACTGGAAAAGGACGCTCGTCCGCGGAAACAAAAGGCGAATCTCTCTCTCTGCCGCACACTCTGCGGTCATTTTCGACGTTTGCCAATGCGCGTCGGCCGGTTCACACACGCTCACCCACACACGCTCACTCACACGCACACACACACGCACGCCCACATTGACACCCGGGGTGCGTTCTGAGTATCGCCCCTGGCTATCGACGTCTGCATCGCTATCGCCGTTCGATCGGCGCCGCGCTGCCTCGCCGCTCCGTCTCGCGCGGCCTGCGCAGACTCCGCGGACTTGCGGACAATGCGGCGTTGCATCGAAAACTCCCACGCGGCGACCAGGCAGCGCGGCGGGGAAGGGAAGCACATTTCGCACAGTGGTGTGGATACCGAGCCGAACGCCGCCGCGCCGGTTCCTTTGATTTTGAAAGCGTCCCGCGAACCTGACCAGTGGAATGGGGGCAGATGGATTCGCAAACATTTGCAAACCTGCAGACTGATTCCGAGAGTCGTCTTCGTCGCTCTGTCCCTCTCGCACCTGTACGGAACGCCCCGTGAGTGCGAGCGAGACAGCGCGACGACGTGCCGAGAGACTCGTGGCTGATTTTGACGCGACTGTCCCCGCGCAGGTACCTGGACTTCATGAACATCCTCAGCTACGACTACCACTCCGCCTTCGAGTCGGCCGTCAACCACCACTCGCCGCTGTACCCGATCGGCGAGGACGACGAGTACAACTTCGAGGCGGCCCTCAGCATTGTGAGTACAGTGCGATGTGTTTTTGGTGCGACTCGCGCACAGTGGGCCAGAAGGCCGGCGGAGGCGGCCAAAATTCTAGACGCATTTTGAGCTCCAGAGTCGCTAAATGGGACTCGAACCGAGCGTGTGACCCCACCAATGGATTGCTCTCCGAACGAGGAATCCATTGGTGGGGTCGCACGTTCGGTTCGAGTCCCATTTAGCGACTCCGGAGCTCAAAACACGTCTGGGATTTTGACCGCCTCCACCGGTCTTCTGGCAAATCCACTGTGCCGCGGTCCGGCAACTTGGCCCGTGTGTCATGTGCGCCGCACCCTGTGTGCGAGTGAGAGGGGCGAGCGTGGCGGGCGGGGCCAGGGCGGGTGCGAGTGAGACGGGGTGCGTCGTTACGCCACAGGCAGCAGTACCGCCTCAACCTGTTGCTTGAACGCGTCCATTCGGAGCGTCCACACGCGATCGCAGCGCGTCGCAGCGCGTCGCAGCGCCCAGCCATCCGCAGGGCTCCCACGGCGGGGACCGCGGGGGCCGTCCTCCAACTAGGGTCTTCCCTTTTCGTCTTTTGCCGCTCCGAGTGCGCGGGTAACGCCAAACTGATTAGTCTGAGTTATTTTTGCTGCCAAAGAAGGCTGATCTTTTCCGGACGCCCCCAACTGGGACACCTCCGCGTCGTTGCGAAAACGCCGCGCCCGGGGTCCCTGGCGGCGTCCTGGCGGCTCCGCGATGCGCCCGGCCGCCGCAGTGCTGCAGCAGGTTGTCGGGAACGTCAGGAGGTACTAATGAACAAGTTGGCGCGACGCTGTAAAGGTGTGGCGCGGCATTGCCAACACCATTTCTTTCTTTTTTGGCGGGCGGCTTTTGCAAGGCGTGATGCAAATCGGGTACTGGGAATGTTGCCGGCCCTGCAGGTGAGAGAGAGAGAGCATCGGTTGCATCGCCGTGACGGGTAGCATGCCGGAGCGAGGAAGGTATACCGGCTCAAATGTTATTGGAACGGTGTGTGTCTGTGTGCCCCCAGGACTACACCATCAAGCACTACTTGAAGATGGGCGCCTCGCGCGACAAGCTGGTGCTGGGCATCCCGACGTACGGCCGCTCCTACACGCTGTTCAACCCCGACGCCTCCGAGCTGGGGGCGCCGTCCGACGGGCCGGGCGAGCAGGGCGACGCCACCAGGGAGAAGGGCTACCTGGCCTACTACGAGGTGAGTGTGGCGACAACAATGCTTTCGTCGCGCTGCACAGTGGGCCAGAAGTCTGGCGCAGCCGGCTGAAACTCTAGACGCGTTTTGAGCTCTGGAGTCGCCAAAAAGGACTCGAACCGAACGTGTGACCCCACCAATGGATTCCTCGTCCGGAGAGCTATCAATTGGTGGGGTCACACGTTCGGTTCGAGTCCCATTTGGCGACTCTGGAGCTTAAAATGCGTCAGGAATTTTGACCGCCTCCACCGGTCTTCTGGCCCACTGTGCGCTGTCTCTCTGGCACTCGCGTGGCGTCTCGCAGGCCGCCGCGGGTGCGAAAGAGACAGACTGCTGACCTTTCCGTTCCGAGGCGCGGAAGAGTGGCCATCCGTCACTGTCGGCACACTGTCGGCACCGTCCCCTGTTTCCAGATTTGTGAGGCGGAAGGCTGGGAGGTGCAGAAGCCGCACCCGAAAGCCATGGGCCCCTACGCCGTCAAGGGGAACCAGTGGGTCGGCTACGACGACATGGAGATCGTCAAGCTCAAGGTAAGTGCCGACTTATCTCGGGGAGAGTAAATGTCAGGGCGGCGAGGTAAATTCACTTTAGCAGTGATGTCACCGGCCGCCGCTCGGTTCGTGGTTCCCGGCCAAACCGGATCGCGGGCCATCTCGTATTATCCAGGGAAAAAGAATAAAATTCCAACGGCCCCGCGATGTTTGCTGTTCCTGGTTCATGACCTATCTCCAACGACCAGCCTTCGATATTCCGAATTCCCTTCAAAACGGACCTTTCCACATGCTAGCATGACGATGGTCTTCTTCTTCTCCGCGCGCAGGCCGAGTACGTGAACGAGAAGGGGCTTGGAGGCATCATGTTCTGGTCCATCGACAACGACGACTTCAGGGGCAAGTGTCACAGCCGGCCCTACCCCCTCATCGAGGCGGCCAAGGAGGCTCTGTTGGACGTCAAGTCGGGGTGAGTACCGATCGGGACGGTTCGGTGTGCTGCCTCCTGCCTCCGGCGCGGCGTGCAGACTGACTCCAATATGTCTTGCCCCTGACAGCAACGAGAAGAACCTGATCTCCTCCAAGACGAGCAAGAACAAGTCCGGGCACCGCGCGAGCGACAGCAGCGCGGCGCGCAGCGAGAGCAGCAGCAGCAGCACGCCGCGGCGCACCAACAAGCTCAAGACCAAGGCCCCCGCCAGCACCAGGAGGACCACGGCCGCCACCACGCCCTCCACCACCTCCACCACGGGCCACGGGCTCACCACCCCCGAGCCGCCCTCCACGCCGGACCCAGGCAGCGGTAAGGCACCACCCTGGTTTAAAAGAAAATTTGGTCGTTCTGTTTTGAGCTGTTACCCGTGACTTCATTGGTGTCGCGCATGAACCGGATCGTCTGACTGTCCACAGACTTCGTCTGCAAGGACGAGGGCTTCTTCCCCCACCCCCGCGACTGCAAGAAGTACTTCTGGTGCCTGGACAGCGGGCCCTCCAACCTCGGCATCGTGGCGCACCAGTTCACGTGCCCGTCCGGTGAGGCCTTTCTTCTTGACTTGCGCCGTTTTTGCCTTTACCACGCACGTCCCTTCGGGGATTCCCTCGTGGTCGGCCTGGCCCCGGCCGTGCGCCGACATTGGCTGCTGCGGTTGGCAGCCTGGTCTGACTGTTCGTGTCGTTGGCAGGCCTGTTCTTCAACAAGGCGGCAGACTCGTGCGACTACGCGCGCAACGTGATCTGCTCCAAGAAGGCCGCCGCCCCGGCCACCACCGCGACCGCGTCCACCACGGCCGCCACGCCGGCCGTCAGCGTCGGACGCATCACCACCTCCACGACCACCACGACCACCACCACCGAGGCGCCCTTCGAAGAGGAGGAAGAGGAGGAGGAGGAGGTGGACGACGTGGAAGACGGTGGCCAGGAAGACCCCGAGGCGCTCAAGGAGCTCCTCAACCTCATCAAGAAGCTCGGTGAGTGGGCGTCGTTTTACAACTTTTCGGTGCTGTTGTTGCATTCCGCAAAGCTGACCGCCGCGTTGTTCGTTTCCAGGTGGAGTCGAGGAGCTCGAGAAGCAGCTTCGCGGCGGCAGCAGCAGCGGCGCCGTCGAGTCCCCCGCGGCCAGCCCCAGCAGCGGTACCACCAACAACCACCTCAACAGGAACAGGAGCTTGGTGGAGCGCGTGCTGCAGGGCCGCAGCCGCCACGCCGCCACGCTGTCCACGTCGTCGGCCTCGGACGCCACCACGCCGAGGTACAAGTCGCTCTTCAGGAACGGGCCCTCGCGGCCGCAGAACGACGGCCTGCAGGACGCCAAGGACCCCCAGAAGGACAGGGAGCGGCCCAAGTACGTCAGCATCCGCCGAGAGAGGTGAGTAGACAACGGTCAGGTCTTTCTTTGGCAGCAACCCAACAGGCCGATGGCTGGCTTCACCTGCCCGACTCGCCCCTGTTCCCAGACCCACTGTCGCCGCCGAGCTGGAGGAGGCCGTCCAGAACGAGCCCGAGGAGACGGCGGTGGAGGCGCGCACGCGCAGCCGCTACGACAAGCCCGCCAAGCGGGAGGAGGACCAGGGTGACGACGACGAGGAGGTGGTGCAGGACGAGAGGCGCCCCGCCAAGCCTGCCACACCCGAGTACATCACCCTGCGCAGGAACAGGCCCAGCGACGAGCCCGCCGTCACCACCTCGCGGTAGGGCCCGGGACGCCGGTTCAAATTCCACTTTATTTTAATTTTTTCGCATGCAGTGTTACGACGCGGGAATGCCCTGCGACTGAGGTTGGTGACGTGTATGGTTGCTTCTAGCTACGTGACGCTGCAGAGGGGGCGGCCGTCCTCCACGACCGAGGCGGCGGCCCTGTCCTCGCAGGACGAGGAGGACGACGATGAGGAGGTAGAGTCCACGTCCTCTGAGGAGGACGTGGGCGCCGTGGCCGTGGTGACGCCGTCGCCGTCCGTGGCGCCCTACAGGGAGGGCCCCGTGTACCGGCCCACCCCGCTGCGGACGACGCGGCCCGCCGAGGACGAAGAGGAGACCGCCGCCACGACCTCCCCGACCACGACCACCACCGCGACCCCAAAGGTGAGTCCAGGGGCCTCCGACGCAAAGACAGACGATGACGTCACCACTGTCGACATCACTACTCTGGACAGTACAGTTACACCCGCGCCCCCCACCTCCACCCCTGAGGTGGTGACTCTGACAACCCCCTCCCCCTTCGTCGTCACCCCCGAGCCCTCCTCCACCACCACCAGCACCACCACAACCCCGCCCCCACCCTCCACGAGCAGTCCTGAGCCGTTCACGGAGACCCACGTCGTGACCTCGGTGACAGAATCGTCCGTGACCGAACGACACCGGATCATTGTAAAGAACCATAACCACCCCGGCTACACCCACCCCACCTCCCCCATGCCCTCGACCCCGGTCACCGAGCCCTCCACGACGGAGTCCCCGACCGCCTCCACGGCCTCCACGGTCTTCCCCGCGCGCGGCGGGGTGAGTCGCACGCGCGGCCGAAACAGGTTCACGATCAAAGCGACGCCCCACACGACGCCGCTCAGCGTGCGCACGCAACGCCTCAAAGCCAGCCTCAGCCGGCTGCGCGCCTCCAGCGCCGAGAGGAACGCGACGTCGGAGGAGGACTCGTCCTCTGAGCAGGTCGACGCCGAGGGGCAGCCCAGCTCCACCCCGAGGTTCACGCCGCGCACCAACCGCAGGCGGACCACCACGAGGAGGCCCGCGACTGAGGCCGACGACGAGCTCACCCCCACGCCAACCCCCCGGACCCTGAACCGACCCCGACCCCGACCACAGAGGCCTCAGATCCTGAGGAAGAGCCCCAAGACCTCGACCACGACGACCTCGACCACGATAGACACAACCACCCCGACGCCAACGACCGCCGCGACATCATCGACGGAGCAAGCGTCCACCCCTGCGTCCGAGACCTCATCGCCGACGACCGACGCTTCGTCCACCGCTGCTGTCGACACCAAAGAGGCGGACGCCGTTGAAACCTCGAGCGCGTCTGCAGTCGACGCGTCGCCGTCAACCGTAGAATCCGCCTCGCCGACGCCCTCGTCGACCGCGGCGAGCGACGCCGAGAACGACGAAGTCCCCTCGTCGCCGTCAGCCTCCACGACGCAGGCCACGACCGCCACCGTGTCCAGGGGGCCGGTGTCGCCCCGCACGTACCGCCCGCCCTTCCGCGCGCGGTCCACCACGGCGGCGCCGGAGGACGACGAGGAGCCCGTGTCCGCCAGGCAGTACCAGGCCCTGGACCGCGGCCGCACCTTCTCGCTGCCCGACTCCTCCGAGCGCGTGGAGCCGACCGAGCGGACGCGGACGATACTGCTGCGCGGCAAGACGTACGCACCGCGCGCCAGGCCATCCACCACCGCCGCGCCCGTCGGGGTCGACGAGCCGGACTACGCCGATGTGAGCCTGGAGGGCGACTCGTCGTCCTACCGCTCTCGCGGACGCACCTTCCGGCCCGCGCCGCGCCGCGACGAGGACGACGTTGACGACGCGCCCAGGCCGACGACGCTGCGGTCCAACGCCTTCCGCTCGCGCGGCAACAGGTTCTCGCTGCCGCCGAAGACGACCGCCGAGGACGCCACGACCGCGCGCTCAGCCTTCCGCCCGGCCGCGCCCCGCACCCCGGACGACGAGGACGCCGTCGACGACGCCGTGGTGCGCACGCCCTTCAAGCCGCGGACCCGCGTCGCTGACGAGGAGCCCTCGACGCCGGCGACCAGGGCACCGTTCCGGCCGCGCGGTCGGCCAGCGGCCACCTCGCACGAGACCTACGTCCTGGAGGAGGAGTCCACGACGGCGGCCACGAGAGCGCCGTTCCGGCCCCGCAGCGGCAGGCCCACCACAAACAGTGACGACGAGCCGACCACCAGGGCGGCGTACCGCGCGCGCGGACGGACGCTGGAGCCCGCGCCAGTCTACGAGGAGGAAGAGGAGCAAGAGATTGAAGTGAAGCCGTCGACGTTCCGGCCGAGGACCAGGCTGGCGGCCACCACGGCGCCCACCGTGACCGTCAAGCCCAAGCAGCGCTTCCGCTCTGCGCCGGCCACCACACCGTCGGCGGACTTTGCCACCGCCACCGCCGCGACAACGCCCACGCCGACGGCGCACCCTGGCAACAGGGCCGCGGCCATCAGGTCCAGGGGCAGGAAGTTCAACGTGGCCGACCTCCTGACGGACTCTGACGACGACACCCCGACGACGGACAAGTCCAGCAGCCCGGCGCGCTCCGCCGCCCTCCGCTCGCGGGGCACCAAGTTCTCCGTGTCCACCGAGGAGCTGGAGGGCGCCACCGGAGACGACTTCCCCACCTCCAGGTACAAGGGCGCGCGGCAACGCCTGGCCGCGGCGCGCAGGAGGAGCAGCACCAGCAGCGGGAGCAGCGCCGCCAAGCCCAACGAGCTGAGGAGGGTGGTGGACGACGACAGGGCGCTGGACGACAAGGCGGTGGGCAGCGAGCTGCTGCTCACCCTGGAGGACTCGGACCACTTCAACGCCAAGGGCCGCCTGGTCAAGGAGACGGTCAAGGAGACGCGCAAGGGCAAGCCCAGCCCGGGCAAGACGGCCACGGTCTCCAGGGGCTCCATCAAGGCCAAGGACGCGCTGCAGCAGCTGTTGCTGCGCCAAGACGAGGACGACCTTGACGACGGCCTGGAGGGCCTGGACGTGTACGACCTGTTGACGCTGCCCACCACGGGCTACGAGACGGCCAGCCACTTGGGCAGGCAGGAGGTGCCGGACCAGACGTCTATCGAGGACACCCACAACGAGTCGGTCGTGGACGCAGAGGATGACGCCCTGGACGCGGTGCTGGACAACGAGGTAAAGGCCCTCGCGGCGAACGGCGCGGCCAAGCGGCGAGCATCCCGGTGCTTGGAGGTCGGACTGACTTGCTGCATCCAGAATGGCCATTTCGTTAACCCAGTGAGCCTGGCGCGGCACAGCAAGATGCCAAGCCGTTACTAGAACAACCTTTACCACTACTGACTCTGCCTGTCTCTAAACAGCATGTGACAAGACTCGGATAATGTTAGCTAGCAGCCTCTTTCCTGTTTGGTGACTGTTCTCATTCCATTTACCTGTATGCCGGCAACTGTGATGTTAGTGTAGTGCGTGATAACCAAGTGCGATGCGAGCTTGTGATTGAAGCATGTTCCGTGCATTTTGCATTTTGTGCAACGAGTGAGTAGCAGTAATGCCATGTTACGTTTGTTAGCGCATGTGTGAATGAATGAGTTGGTTGACGAGTTTAGTTTGCGCTGTTCAAGAATATCAGGCATGTTAGTGCTGCTTTCTGCCACCTGGCAACCTTCTAAGATCTCTCTCTTTTTCATAAAACAATATTCTTTTTCCTATTTACTTTTTTAAAAATACGTTTTTGTGTGGTATTTATTTTTTGAAGTTCTGAATAGAAGGTGGCTTGGTTGTCGATTGCAGCACAATCCGCGATGTTTAACTTAGTGCATCGCACGTTTGATTAACCCGCCAGCGTGGAGTTTGGAATAAGTGACTGCATCCCGTCCCATTCCCATTCCAGCCCCGACCCAAACCCCTGTCCCTTGCGCCACACACAACACACCGACACACAGCGTCAGAAAAACACAGTCATTTATGATATTTAAAATGTGTTCAATGTATTTGTTTAGCTACTTTTTCGTCGTGGTAAGTGTTCATTCAGTTCACAGATGGAAGAGTGAGTACGTTTTAAACTACTGTTCTCTTTGATGGAATCCATCTGTATTGTTTAATTCGCGATTCCGGCTGATTGAGAGATTGATTATTTTGTGTTAGAGTGGTTTCTTAAATCGAAAGTTAGCTGTGCCCACACCTACATTGTTTCCTGCTTTCAAAGCAACCGCCTCATGAACTCTTGCATTTTGAATCTACTCTGAAGGTTTTGAAAGTAACTGGTGACTGGTGCCTTGAATGAAATGTTCGTAACCAAATACTCCAGCAGTCCGTAGGGTGGTGTAAGGGTCCGCAAGAGTCTTTGCGTGCCCTTTTAACATTTGCATTGTGATTTATTACGGTTATTGTGAACTCTCCTTCATTTTAGATTGATTTGTTTCCTGTTCCTCATTTTTCTGCCATTTTATGCATATTTTTTTTCTGGCCTTGGGCAATTTCTTACTGTTCTGTGCTATTGCATTTCGTCTTAGAGTTTACGGGAGCACCCCAGTGTGAAATTCACTCGTTAAATTGGTGTCGACTGACGTCCGATCCGCGAAGGATCCGACTTGGAGGCGACAACCTTTCTAACAGCTAATTCACCACTCGGGTTTAGCACGATTCGCACTCCCGAATCAAGTGCGGTTATCTTTTCCCCGCTTGGCGAAACCTTGTTGGTCCGGGTGTGCGTCATCTCACCGGCGCCCTGTCCGCCTCCGCCCGCAGGTGTCTGCCGAGAGAGTGTCCCTGAGGCGGCCCGGCGGCTTCCTGAACCACGGCAGCCGCGGCCGCCGGCCCACCACGCAGGCCCCCGCCACGACCACCACCACGGCGGCGCCCAGGCGCACCCCGCCCAGGGTGATCCGCAGACGGAAGCCCGCCGCCACCACGGCCAGCCCCATCGACTCGGACGGCGCGGCGCAGACCTCGGCGCCCTCCAGGGGTGAGTGGGTGCACCAGGGTGCGGAGGTCGGCGAGGTCGGACCGCGAGCTGACGACGTCCTGGTTGTTTCAGAGTCCGTCGTCAACAGAGGACAGAGTGCCGCTGCCGCCCAGCGGCGAAGGAAGTTCCGGCCCGACGTCAAGACGACGACGTACTCGTACGAGGAGGCCACCGCCACCACTCTCTCAGGTGCGTTCACGTTCGCTGTGCACTGTGGTCGCCTAGTCGTGCTTTTATCTGACTGAGTGCGTCTCCACTGTCCAGAGGCAACGACGGAGCGAGGCCGCTTCTCGTTCCCGAGGCGGCGGCCGACGGGCAAGTCCGCCGAGGCCGGCAGTGCCACCACGGCCGCGCCGAGCTCCGCCGAGCAGGCCGCCACGGTGACGGCCTCCGCGGCCACCGCGCCCGGCACGCCCCTGCAGGGCCGCGAGCTGAACGCGCTGCTGGCGCGCGCACTGCAGGAGCAGCAGCTGCAGGATGACCGCGTGCAGGAGCAGCAGAGCCTCAATGAGGCGGACCTGTCCGACCTGACGCACCCCGCCGTCGTGGCCATCCACACCCTGGCCACGCAGGCCGCAGCCACGCCGCCCCTCGCGTCCACGCCGTCGCCCTTCGTGGCGGCCTCCTCGCCCGCGCTGCCCCAGAGTAAGTCCACGCCCCCGCCCCCCATCGGCCCCATCGTGCTGCGCTGGCCCGGGAGGATGGCCAAGGAGCCCACCCCCGGGAAGTGGAAGCCACGCAAGCCAGTGGCCTTGCCGGTGGCGGCGTCGGCCGAGGTGCCGGCGTCCGCGTAGCCTATGGAACACAACACCCAGGACCACTCGGTCCCTGTTTCCCTCCTCCGAACACACCGTGAAGGGAAGGCCGGATCCTTGCCCTGACGTTAACGCTAACGTTCCCTAGCCTCCCCGTCTCTCATCAAGCGAGACGGTCTCTGCATGGGATTCCTGACTTGGACACAGGTTGCTGTCCATTTCTGCATTAATCAACTCGAATGTGTCTGTCTCTTTATGTAGTGTAGTGGTTGACTACTGTCTTTTGGTCTCTTCGTCATTCACAGCCAACTAACCTCTTAACGCTTGCTATAGCTACTGTTGCCATACTTGTATTTTTTAACTTTTTGCCTCTCGTTTTGTTACCTTTGCCATGGAATTTGGCAAAAGTTTTGTGCCAAAGCTGTTGCTCCAGATTGCGGTGAGCTTAAGAACTGATAAGAAAAAAACAACAACAAAGAACTACCATGACTGTTTAGATATTAGTTATTGTTACTTTTTTACATTAAGTGTTTAAGTGGGTGCAGGTATTCGTGCTGAAGGTTTAGGTCTTCGTATCTTTCATCTCAAACTCCCTCTTCTCTACACTTTCCTGTTTCATTACTATTTGTTGTGTGGCTGTTTTTGTTACAATAAACGGATTCGTATGTTAACTAACCCCCTCTCTTCATCGCCCTACTAACGACCTCTCTTAACTTCTGAGACGCATTTGCGAACGTTGCCTGGCTGCGCCCAGCGCCTGAAAGTTGGCAAACCGTCGTACGTTGGCGACGAGTAGCTGGAGTCTGCGTGCCTAAGAACTTGCCTAAGAACGGGTAAGGCAAACTAAAAGCATGCGGTGGGGGGCGAAAATAAACGGCCTGATTGCGCAGGAATGGCTAGAGGGTGCTTTGGTCTTTCGGTGGCGGCCGGTGGTGTTTCAAGATGCACTTCGCGTAGGCAACGGAGATCGTGTCATGTTCAACGGGCGGCGGCAAGAGCACTGTACATTTTACGGAATCACCATCATCACCACTCATTGTGTCTCCCCTTTAACTTCCCCCGTAGTTTGTGTTTTCGTGTACAAACTGTTGTGTTGTGTGCACCACTATAAATATGTATGTACCAGCACTCTCCTAACATGGCTTCTTTCTCTTCTTCTTCCCCTTCAGCCTCCTCTCGGGACAACGAAGTAAGTGCGGTTTATCTTTGGCATGCTTTCCTGTAGACGTAAGCTTCACTAATCCACCCCATCCTGGCCGCATCCAAGTTTCCGGGTCACGAAGCCAAGTTTTGAACTGCAAATAAAAATTTGTTCAGAGTGGCAGGAAAAAATATGACTGAGCGTCTTGGGGCATCCTTAGACGCCCTTCACTTTCTTTGGTAATTAACAATGATAATCTCTGAATGAAAAATCATACTCCCTTGGAGAATCGAAGCGCTTGCCCTGTGACAAACTGCACCTGCAGCACATGGCCTAGTTCTTAGTGCAGTACCCACCCAGCGTGGGCGTCCTAGACCGTAGCGCTGTCCTCGCTGCCTCTGTCTCCATGCTTGACGACCGAGCAGTGGCGCAGAAGCCTAGTGCATCGCAGACTAGTGCACGGCAGTCTAGTGCACCGCCGCCTAGTGCTAGTGCATGTCACCCGGCCGGTTTCGGACGTCGGCAGGGACGCAAGGGCGGAGGGAGGTTCTGAGAAGCAAGGTTCAAAATTCATGTTTTTAATTGACAATCCTTATTTCACATTGGAGCCGGAGCGCCTGCGCAATGCATGGTAGGCCGACCCGCCGAACACGCCTGTGCTCCGGGCTTGCCTACCCTCCGCCTCGCAGGCGCCGTCCGGCAGGGAACCCGGACGTTGGACTCTTACATGCGGATAGAAGTCCAGCGCCTTTCTGACTTGCTTCTCGCCTCCCTCGAGGTGGCCCCGTTTCTCGCTGGTGTCCGAAGTGGCGCCCCCTCCCCCCGCACGCCGCGCTGACCGCTCCCCTGCGCAGGTTCGTCGTTCACGCACGTCCGGACGGGGGACACCACGTTCAGCACGTCCCTCAGCTTCCCCGACGCCGCCAACACCGTCCAGCACGGCCAGCACGTCCAGTCCGCCGCCCCGGCGGCGCGGCAACCCCCGCGGCAGCACCACACCGCCGTCAGCCTGAGCGACAGCGAGCCGGCCGCGCTCACGACGCTGACGACGCCGCCGCCACTGCTGGAGATCCGCGTGCCGCTGACGATGACGACGGTCCGCGGGCGCGGCGGCGCGGCGCGGCGCCTGCCCCAGGGCAACCCCCAGGGCAACCCCCAGGGCGGCCTCGGCGCCGACGACGTGCCGCGCCTGCGCTCGCCCAACCCGCAGCTGGGGCCGCTCAACCCGCTGACCGGGCAGCTCGCCCAGCTCGCCCAGGACTACGAGTACTACGACGACGAGGCCGACGCGGCGCCGTCCGCCACCAAGGTCAAGATCCACGGCGACGGCTGGATCGAGTGCCTGGACCGCGGCAACTTCCCGCACCCCTTCTCGTGCCGCAAGTTCATCTCGTGCGCCAAGATGGAGTCCGGCGGGCTGCAGGGCTGGGAGTACACCTGCCCGCGCGGGCTGTCCTTCGACCCCATCGGGGGCATCTGCAACTGGTCGGCCGGCCTCGGCTGCAAGGCGTAGGCCCCAAGGTCCTGGAGCGAGGGCGGCGACGTCGACGGCGTGTGGCTGTTCGGGCTTGCCGCCGCGCCCATCTTATTGTCAAGTACCTGACGCCGAGGAGCGCGACGTGAAAAGTGAAGTTGAGTGTAGACGCACTAGCCGCGCGAGCCGCGAGAGCTGGGACACTTTTGCATCATTTTGAAGTGCCGGTGAACGCCGGCCCGTGGTGACTGGGTCTCTCATTTTAGGGTACGGCACGGGACCACCTGTGCCACTTCACTCAGCAGCATCGGATTCTGACGGTGTGTGAGAACAGCCTCGCAAACTGCTGTCCCTTCCGAAAGTTATAATTGACGTAATGCAGAAAGCTGCAGAGAGGTGCGTTGAGTGTATATTGGTCCCGCATATTATGCATGGCAAAACTTCTTTTCCACAAAAGAAGTTGCATATTTTCTACGTTTGTTTCTAAATTGATGAAGATGAGTATTTTTAAAAGATTTGCCTCTTTCATTTATTGCCAAACTTACATATGCTGGACCGATACTTCAATTGCACGTTGAGAAAAAGGAACCCTGCTAGATTCAAGAGTTTGAAACTGAAGTTGAGCCTCTTCCTCACTGGCAATTCAAACAACTTTTTTTTAAGCGTGGCTGGAACAGCCAGATTTTGGAAGTTCGTTTATTAACATCATCTATGTTCCTGATGTTTGATAGATCACAGACAATGTACAAAGATTTTTTAAAAATTTGTAAGAAAATAAGGACAACTTCCCCACTGTGACCAGTAATCATCAAAGTGTGTATTTAAATGTATAAACTATTGAACATATTAGAAAAATAAAGCTACATTTTTTTAATACTTAAAAACGTGTCATTTTTTATTTTCTTTTTTTTGGGGGGGGGATGGCGGGAACTCTTTTGCGTCCCAGAGGGAAGGGTAGCCCTATGCAGAGCCGCGCCTCCAAGGTAGGCACCCCATTTGGCACGCTTGGGAGCCGACGGTGCCGACGGCAAGAACTCTTTTAGAGGGAAGGACAGGACGGGTGTGTGCTTCACACGGTTCGGTAGAGATGATAGAGATATCGGGCGACCTGAAATGTCTCTGTGTGACACGTCCGGGATAGTTGTCTCCATTTCTTTACCCCTTTTGTGGCAGAGCGCCCCACCGCCTTGACACGTCACAGGGAAGACCTGAACGTCTTTGGCCATCTTTGGCACAATGGCGCCGTGAATGTAGGCCACCTATTCGACACGTGACTATCACTATCGGCAGTTCCCTTCCCCTTCCTTCGCTTATTCGCACTCGGAGACTTCTCCTGTGTTATCGTGGGAGTGCTGAATTTTTGAGGAAAATGAAATGCTGCTATCATAATTTTGGATATGGCATTGAGTTATGAGAAAAATGCATTTTTTTTTGTGGACTGCTATGCTTTCATTTTGTAAATCGGACGCTTCCAAGTGTTGTTTAGCAGACGCTTTGAGGTGGAATAACCTTACATTCGTTGTTGTTGTTTGTACAAAATCTTGAATTTCCACTTTTAAGTCGACAAAGCGCTATAGATTTTAACATGGATGTCGTCACGATAGATTCTGATGTTGATGTCTTATATTCTCGTAAGCTTTTAGAAGAAAAAAACCCCAAAAGCCGCTGTAAGACTAGTGTGCTTTGGAATGCTCTACTTTCTATTGTGGCTGTTATTGTGCTTCTAACGCTGTTGTTGGAGTGCAAAGACTATCTCAAATCTATATTAATATGGATTAACAATCAGGACTCGAATGCTGTTTTCATCTTGTTTGTGGGCTTGTTTACATTAGTTTCGTTTCCGTTTGTGTGGGGGTATATGCTCCTCACAGTTGCTTGTGGTTATTTTTTTGGAGTTGTCCATGGTTTCATCACAGTCGTATTCTCTGCCAATCTTGGAGTTGCAATAGCCCACATTACAATACGTGCTGTCAACATGAAGTTTCATATCATTAAATTAGTAAACTATGATACCATGCATGCGATTCTGAGAGTTATATCAGGACCTCAAGCATTCAAAGTTGTAGCTCTTGCTCGTGTGTCGCCTATACCTTTTGGTATCCAGAATACCATCTTTGCAGTGAGTTTACCAACAGTACCTAATGAGATGATATTAATTGGTTCTTATTTTCCAATTCTTCTATATTCTTACTTTGTATATCTTTCAAACAGCTCAGTGGAATTAGCACTGGTCAGTACCTCTTGGCCACTGTTATAGGACTACTTCCAGCTCAGATGATCAATTTGTACTTGGGAAGTACACTAAGATCAATAGGAGATGTCATCTCAGACCATGCTTCAACGCCATTAACAGGTTACATCATGTTTTGTATTCAGGTAGGCCAACCGTCAGAAGTACTTTTTGTTTGTTTCCAGCCTTCTGGTTTCCTTGACACTTATTTTTTTTCATTTGGTTTAGATCACAGTTGGAGTGTCTTTAATGGCTTACGTTATACACAAAGCAAGAGTGGAACTTCGTGAAGCTTTAATCAATCAAGTTCCATCCAGTGTTGTCCACGGCCACGGTATTAAAAGTAGTGCAGATTTCATTGTGTAACTTTTGGTGCCATGAGTTTTATCACTGTTTTCATCGCCTAGCAAACACTCATGATTGTTTCTTGTGGGACACCTACAAGCACTATGCCATTTGTTCTACCTCTAATGTGATATTAATGATCAACTATCCACACATTCAGCTGTGGATTTTTCCTGTTGTTCCATCTATATTTTTTATACATATGGTGTCGGAATCTCTTACAACTATTTTACCTATGCGCAAAATAATCCCAAATACTGTAACTGCAGTTTACCTACATATCTTAAGACACTTTGAGGAAATTCCTATTTGCTTTTATTTCTCAACATTTCTTTGCATTGACTGCTCCAAAAATTTTCAGATAGTCAAGCTTTGTTTGATCTGTACAACCAATCTGTTTCTACATATGTTCTAGTTCAAGTGTATTGCAAGGTGTTATTTGAATTTATGAACTCCCAAAGATAAGAGGTCACTTCCTTACTGTGTGATTAGCTATAAATAGCTCAAACATGAGATTTTAATTAAGAATCAGAGGTTTTCTGTATATGAGTTTGATGTGCAGGATATTCCTTTCTTTGTTCAATTATTATTTTTTGTTTTAGACTTGACTAATGGGATACTCCTTTATAAAAAAAGACAGCTGTTCAACAATCTGTGATAATTCAATAGTTTTGAAGACTTTAAAAGTATATAAAAACATAGAAAAGTTAAGAAGCTTAGTTGTATCCTTGTTCTCACTTCTGTTTTCCCATAATATTTTATTATGAAATGTTGAAGAATAGTGTTTAATAAATGGGAAAGGGTACCGATTTTCATGTGAGTACAATAAAGCACTGCATATTGTACTCCAATGTGTCAGATGATCTCTACGGGCCAATAATAAATCTGTTATAAAATTTGACAACGTTTCAATTAATGCGAACCAAGAACAATTAATTACAATGAGACAAATTTTTGAGAGTGGCAGAACCATGCAAGTGGGCTGCAGGCACCAGCTAAACGGGATTAAATTGAATATGCCAGTTAAGAATAATTATGTTTTTGTTTGTAATAAATTATTTTGAAGATGTTAAACTCACACAATCCTAAAGCAGCTTTGCTATATCCTCCAAGTCTAAGATAGGCTCGGAAGGTGATGAATTCCTTCCATCTTCATCGTCAGAACTACAATCACTGCTACTACACGACTCTTTTACCTACACAAAGTGCAGAAAAGAAAAAGAAAGTTTTAAATGTTTAAAACATCTTACAAAATTTTCAAAAACAAGAATTGACTTTCACTTACATTACTTGCCTTTTCTTTAGGGCCACACTTGCATGATTTCTTCTTGGGAGAGTTCCATAGTTGGATTCGAGAAAGAACCTCTTCTGCCCAGTCATCAAAAACGTTTGAAGAGAGAGCAGCTGTGATCTCTGCTATCTCAGCTCTGCATACTCTCACTGCACCAGATTTGTGCAGGAATTGGTCTACTGGCTACAAAAAAATTCAAACAGTAAACTATTGAGACGCACTTCAGGATTAGTACACAGGCACAGGGAAACAATTTTGCTTACCTCCGCCTTAGATTCTAATGGAGCATCCTGTAATGTGAACACCGAGTATTTCATCCCTGAAAGAGGTCTTTCTGTGCTTGCCAAATTGCTCAGAGCTCTAAGCAGCCAGTGAGGTTGGCCATTTGAAATAGAAGTATCTATAATGAAGATACAAAGGGAACCATCAGCCTGAAATTTGAAGAGAGAAATATAATATCAAAATGAGTTTTACACCTGATGATATATTTCTGTTGTGAAATAAACCACTACTCACATGTTCAGTAAGGTTGACTGATTCAGTATGTGAAATGTTCAGTAATTCTGTAGCTATGTTTTCAGATAGTGGCTTTGCTAAAACTCCAGCAAACTCCTAAAATAAGAGGGCAGTTGCATTACAAAATGAGGCTATGTTTTATACATGAAGTTTGGGGTGTAAAAGCTTACATACCTGGCAGATATTTGACTGCTTATCTAGGAAAACTTTGGCACTCTGAATTGATTGATTCGAGTCGCTGCAACCTCCTGATTTACCATCCTTCTTACTGCAGCAACCTCCGCTACTTCCACATTTTTTCTTTCCCTTGTCTTTGGCTTTTTTCTTGGTTTCAAGGAACACTTTTTCTTTGGGCACACTATTTGTTTTCATTTCGCCCCTATCCTCAGCATTGCACTTGAGGCCCTTTTTGGAAAAAACGAATGTCCAGAAAAACGAAACAGTCGCAATTCCGATGATAAGGGGCAGGAATAAAGAACCACAAAGAGGAATGCCAAACAATGAAGTCATAGTGCTAGCCAGTGGCGGTATCACTCGAGAAAAATGTGTGGTGTACTCCTTACTTATTGCAGAGCACCAAGTTGAGACAGGTTAAGTTTTCGGTGGATCATGTCAACAATCCCCAAGTCATTGGGAAATAGTTTGGTTAGACTATTAATTTCCTTAGTTGTCACTGATTTGGAACGTTGCCTGCTTCATAATGTCACTGTGACGACTCGTCGCGAGGAAAGGGCTCGTCTTACGACGGAATTAAGGAAATTTGGGGAGTACGTGACTAGACGGTACAGCTTCATGACGGCTCTCCCTGTGTCCGCCTGTCTGCTGCTCTGCTGCTGTGGGTGGCGTCCGTCCGTCTGCTTCTGCTACGCTATTCGCAGTCATCAAACCACCACGGCAACACCGGAGCGTTGTTTGCAGCATCGAGTGTCAGGATATTCGGGCTTTCTTTCTGTTGCAAACTCAAAGAAATCTGAGAAAAGTGCGTCTTTATTTCATAACTTTCACCTTATGCTTCTGCATTTACATATTTTTCTTATTCAAGAAAGGGGGAAATAGGGGAGGGTGGGGAGGGTACTTATGCCCTTCCCCGTTGCCCCCCCCCCCCTTTTCCTCCCCTATTCAGAAACACACTGGGATGTTTTCTTAACGTTTTTCAGGGTGATTAACTGCTGATCTACATAGCTTTTGATAGTAACGAGACCATACTGCTCAAAATGAACATGGGCAGTGCCAACACTGTCCCTATCCATCCACACATGTGATTGTGTACCTTTTGGAATGCCAAAGAAATTTTGTCCAATCAAAGTATACTCCTCAGCTGACAGTTTACCATCATTATCCCAATGACAATGATCGCTTGGGAAATGAAAATTCTTATCTTGGGTTTCCAAAGGCTGAAGAAGCCCAGGAATGAAAGTATCATTTGTAACAATTTCACTCATTATTTCCTTTTCTGTCGGCACTGCTTCAGGAGGGCTATTTTCTATCTTTGCAAAATACAGATGATTCAAAAGATCTGTAAAAACAGGTACAATTTTTTTTGCATCTTCTAAACTTTTGCAATTATAACAGTCAATAATAATCCGGATAGCTCTCATGACCTCACGTCCATAAGAAAACTTTTGACAGATGTGATCCAGAACTTTAAGCAGGCCTTTCAAGTCTACAAAGCCTCCTATGTATTTGAAAACGGCTTTGATCTTGTCAACAAGGATGGGCATTACGCGCACTCGGGCATACTCAATCACAATGCGCACCATGCTTTCTGACCCTGCACAGGCCATTAGAAGCATCAAATGAGCGGCCAACTGAAAACTTTGCAATGGGTCTAGTGGCATTCCTCGCCTTTGTAATTCCAAAACATGATCCACGGCCCCAATGCCACTCACAATATTATTAACACATTTCAAACCATCCATGACAGCAGGTACAACTTCAGAAACTAATTTCCCTTCAGCAGCCAACACTTTGCAGACAACAAGAGCTCCTGAGGTCCCCAGTCCAAGGATGCTGCCAACAAGGGAAACCCACTGCTTGAAAGCTTCCTTGTCCTTTATGCTCTGGTTGTGGTTGCCCCGGTCTGCCAGAGTTACAGACGAACGCACAACTCCATATGCAGAGACTACCCCTGAGGCAACAGCACAGGCTATGAAAGCGGGAGGGCAGAAAAGTAGCCCAACACCAGCACCCATTCCAATACCAGCTCCGAGAAAATCAGTTACACGTAAAATCTTTGCTGGCACTTTAGCTGCTGGAGTGCTGTCTAAGAAAATTTTAACTTCTCCCTTTTCATCTGAAGTATATATACCATCGAGTGGACAATAACATTGAGATGGAGGTAGCTTGTTGTTAGAGACAAAGTCTTTCCAGTCATTGTAACGACGTCCTAACAGATCAACAAAGTTGTACTGTGTATCCTGCTTATTCAGACCAGGTACACGGAATACAGGAGTATCAACAGGCTCCTTATTTTTGCCTCCTTGGAACAAAGAAATCCATATTATGGCAATTTCAATACAATTATCAGATATCCCTTTAACTAACTCAGTAAATACAATGTTGATTTCCTTCATTTGATCTTTATTAAAGCCTGTGACTGTGAAGCTATTTTCAGGCAAAGCTGGATCTTTAGGCTTACCAAACAACAGTGTGCCAACCAACTGTTTTAAGGCATTCATTTCTGCATTATTAGGGTACATACCATCATCATGCTTTGAGCAGTGTTTACACTGATGTTTTAACAATACACAAATGGACTGTAGTACATCCCTAAAGTGGAATGGCTGACTGAGAAGATAAAGTTGCTGCTTCTTTTGAGCTTCCTCCTTCCATTTGGCAAGCTTAATTTCTTCAGGAGTAGGAAAGGATACAGTTCCTGGAGGGCTCAGTTTACTTTCTGCTTTCCCCATCTTTCTGAAAAGTAAGAAAAGCAAAACTGTAGCAAAACAAGTCACCTTTCCCCCTCGGTTGGGTTAAAATCGTATTTTTTACCAGGATAACGATTAAAGTGGTTTTATAATAAAATTTAGCCCTATAAATATAAAATGTGTGACTTTTTCTGTAAGAAAAGCATAGCATACCAGATTTGGAACACAGTTGGGAAAACAACTTTGGAAGATGAGCCAAAGGCAGGTGTGGAGTCCTTGTCATAAGTTTCTCGTAAACAGCGGTCGTGATCGGTCCGTTGACGGTAACTAAGGTAAGTCGAAGCTAAAGGCGATTCTTGTGCCGCCTTTGTTGTCTTATCCTGACGAAACGAAGCACCAAACGAGCTCAATACTACGTACGCCACCACATACCACATTCCAGTGTTGCTAAGCAACCTTTCAAGGGCAACACAAAACAAAACCTGCTAAGATTAAATCTGCATGAAAGTCGACATGAGCAGGAACGGGGTAAATTATGAAGAAAATAATGAACAAGTTTTAACTAGCAGTAGATCACAAACATTACGATAGCAACGAATTGGTGTTTTTCCAACTCTTCTCAAAAGACAAAATGTGTGATGTTGGTACAACTGTGCGCATGCCCCGCTACGCCCAGTCCCCTTCCCCCTCCACTTTGCTTCCGCTCCGCGCGCCACGCCTAGGAATATGCAAAGGATGCAAAGTAATCGCTGCGCGCAGCTTCTGCGAATCGACGCGACGCGACGCTGCCTGCACCCGCCTGCGGCACATCATTTCTCTTTTTGTTTTTTGTAGGAGGTCGACGGCGTGGGTTCGACGCGGGCCCCCAGCCCCCCACGACACGGAGCCCCACCCGGCTTTGGCCGACCTCGGCTCGGCTGGGCTCGGCTGGCTTCGGCTGACATGAGCTCAGCTCGGGTCGCGTCCGCGGAGGCAAGGGAGGCAACCGGGGGCCCCCGCCCCGCCTGGCCCCGCCGCAACACTCTTTCATAACAGGGGATACACCATGTGAAAGTAACGCACCAAGGTGGGGTGTGGTGGGGCGGGGCGCGGCGGGGCGCGGCGGGGCGCGGCGGGGCGCGGCGGGGCGCGGCGGGGCGCGGCGGGGCGCGGCGGGGCGCGGCGGGGCGCGGCGGGGCGCGGCGGGGCGCGGCGGCAACACACTGGGGCCGACCGCGCAGGCTGGACAGTCCCAGCCAGCCCCAGTCCCGGCCCACCGCTCAACATCTCCACAGTTTCCAACCCCCTGCAGGACGTCGTCTGGAAGTGAGTGCCCGGGTGTCGCGAGCCGACCGTCGCGTGGGTGGTTGTCTCCTGTATCGTCGCTCCGTCTCTCTCGCTCCCCAACGGAGCGTCCCAGAGTGCGAGAGGGACAGCGGTGCAGCGACGGGGCGCCGTGTGGGTAGGCCGGAGGGTAGGCAGTCCAGGACGCAGCGCTGTCGAGCGTGTTTTGACACTTCGTTTTCGTCGATCCGCTTCGAACGACCAGGCAAGCGCCGCTAGCCGTTGCTCCGTTGCTCTGCAACGTGGTTAGCCGCTCGTCCGCGGCTTTGTCTGAAAGCACGGGCAGGTGGGTCCCCCCTGGGTCCCCCGTCCCCGCGGCCTTGAGATGAGCGAGATGACCGCTGGCGCCGCGGAGGGGCGGGGCGGGGTGGGGCGGCGGGGCGGTGCAGTGGGGCGGCCACAAGGCCGTGACGAAATGCATCCGTGAGGTCGTTCACTCCAGGGAATTTTCCAAGTCGAAAAGATTGAGCGGACTTTATTTGGCAGCTGGACTCTCTCATAACGCGCTGCACTCTACGGCGGCAGTGTAGTGTAATGTGCCGGGCCGTCGGCCTGACCTATTTGGCGACACTGCGAGTGTCACGTCGAGGTTCCTGCCTGGCCGCGCTGGCCGTGCTGCCCATGCTGGCAAAGGTGGCGCTTAGCGGGTGTGTGCCAGGGACTGCCAGGGAGTGCCAGGAGGGGAGGGGTTACAAAATGGGTGCCTGGAAGGAGGGCTCCCCCTCTAGGTCCAGGCCGTCAGACCGTCCAGGCTGCAGCCCGGGTGACGTAACCGGATCCGGGGAAGCAGGCCAGACTGCCAAGCAGACTGCAGGCCGGCTGCCCGGTTTCCGTGTAACCTCAACGAAATCCGGGATTCCAGTCTGCGAGTCACACCGAAACCGAAAACGTCGAACGGCCTGGCTGTATGCGTCTCGTCCGCCTGTCCGCAGCATGTCAGCCAACAGCGTCTGCGCGCTCAGCGTGGTGGCCGTCCTGGTCCTGGTGGCGCTCGCCGCCGCCGCCCCCGCCGCCGCCCCCGCCGCCCCCGCCGCCCCCGCTGCCGCAGACAAACCCGCCGCCGACCAGGCCGTCGCGGCGGCCGAGACGGGTGCCTCCATCGAGGAGGACGTCGTCAAGTCGGCCGAGGGCAGCGGCACGAAGGCCAACAAGAAGCGCAGCCAGGTAGGCCATGCCCTCCTCGCCTCGTGAAGCCGCCGCGGACGAAGCTCTGGGCGCGTTTTGAGCTCCAGAGTCGCTAAATGGGACTCGAACCGAACGTGGATTCGTCGTTCGGATAGCAATCCATTGGTGGGGTCACACGTTCGGTTCGAGTCCCATTTAGCGACTCTGGAGCTCAAAACGCGTTTAGAGTTTTGGCCGCCGGCGCCGGCGTGGCCCACTGTTCAATAGCGTTGCGTTTTGTCTTCTCGAATTTACCTTTCGCCGTTTCCTTCGCAGCCGTCGTCCGCCGGCGGCAACCTGCTGACGCCCCTGCTGCAGTCGCCGGACCTGTACCCCGAGACCGTGGTGCCGTCGCCGCAGGTGCCCGACCCCGCCAAGAAGGGCAACGCCGTGCAGGGCATCCTCCTCAACATCCTGCAGGTGAACTCCCCACACCGCGCCCTGATGGCTTGCAGACCGCGGCTGCTGTTTCCAGATTTTTCTTTCAAAAAGTCTTTTTTCCGCGGCGCGGCTGTAGCAGCCTTGTGTTTCTGTCCCCAACAGCTGGGCTGCCGAAACCACGCGCAGCTAGCGCCTGCTGACCGCTTCTATATTATCTGTTAAGCCGAAGCCCATCGTGGACACGATCCGCGAGGAGGACAAGTATGGCAACACCGGGGACCGGCACCAGTTCATCGGGCGCGGCGTGGTGGCGGGCTTCGAAGGCATTTCCAGAATCCTCAACAAAGTCCTCGACGTAAGTAACGTGCTCAAAGTTTTTTTTGTGTTTCTTCTTTAAGTGGTGTGTTTAAAACCCCGTAAAACCAACTGCCTCGTTTTCAGTTTCCGTTCGAGACCGTGAAGAAGGTCTCGCGCAGTGCTACGGAAGCCCTCAACAACCTGGGTTCTAAACTGATAGGACTGTAAATATCTACAACGCCAAATGAAACACACACGTACCTTGAATTTTGAAGTAAGTTAAGATTTAGTTGCTGTTATACCTTCTTTGTTGAACAATAAATAATATGTTTAAGAATTTTTTTACCTAGTCCTACCTTTTTGACATGACTCTCAGCCCATCATGATTAGTCTTTCCTACTTTAGCCATGTTTGCTGGATAATGAGAGGTTGTAATGACGAAATGAAAGAACCTTACAGTAGTTGTTTATTTTTACGCAGCAGGAGTCACCAACTTTTATCTAAATAAATAACATAAAACTGTAGATGAGAAATATAATATTACTACAGATTCAACGAATAACACTTTTTGGCAGATACAATAATGTCTCATTTGGTCTCTGATACATTTCTAAAAGGTTCTTAGCAATAATACTTTTTGGTGGGGCGACAGTACGAACAGCACGCGGTGTGAACGCCTCAAAAAGGAGAAAGGCATCCCTTTAGTGCACCGAGATGCACTGTTTGCATTCATCAATCAATACCAATTTTAAGAAATACAACAAGATTTCGCCATCGATTTGGTCTCGTCCTAGTTAGACTACTTCCGGCTGCCGCTCTTCGAAAATGTGGCTTACTTCAGGGCATTGGTAAATCACAGGAAGGACAAAAAAACAGGACACAAATGGCAACGCGTTTAAATTAAACGTCTAAAACGACTCAAAACAAAAACCGTTTCTGCATGTCTAGTGCGCTAACACGCTACTATCAAGAGAAACCGCGGCAAAAACATCGACTAAATTATGGAGAAAGTATACAATGATTTCTGTACAATCTCTAAATTGCAATTTTAGGGTGGGGAATTCCATATTACTCCTTAAAAAATGTCTAATCTCTAGTGATCGATATAGCAAGAACTGTGAGACCTAGCTGACGCCAGTAAACACCATACAGAGGTCAGCTAGGCTCCACGAACTTTACACACCATAAAAACATAAAACTATTTTTTGTTATATTTATAGACATTGGAATGTAAAAGCTACCGTTTCAGCATAAATAACATAGGATGTTCTCTGTCAATTTCCTGACAATGAACTTAATATTTATCACAAAACAGTCCAGCTGCCCAGAATTTCACACCCAATATGGCAAACTTTTCCACCTGTCAAGGTCTTCCGATAGGAGCAGGTAATGTTCTCATGGAGCTTCAAGCTCCCTTCACTTTCCATAACGTGCAGTTACAATCATTACAACTGTTTTGCGAGAGAGCCGGCCACCCCACGGGTGGTAGCTCTGGCAGTCTTCACGACGGTTAGAGCGTTTATTCTACACTTTTCACCCACGCTCGATCCAGAGCGATCACAACACATTATTGTCAAACATGAAGGGTGTACAGATAAATGGATTGGCCTGCTGTGGCGCTGCCTGCCACCGAGGATGGTGAAAGCAAATGGCGAATCGACCGCTTCCTCCTCACCGGAAACGGATCGGCAGGCCGGCAGGATGACAGGATGGAGGATGATGAGATGAGATTGGAAATGAAATGAAATGAGATGGCGTCTCTTTGGCTTCTTCTTCTCCGCGTCGCGCGACGCGTCGTTTCGGCTTCGTGTCAAAATTCCAGAGACCGCTTCCGCTCACGAAAATTAAATCCACCCACGAAAACGAGACTCGTTTTCCATCCGACTTCGCTGGCAAGTTCGTTCGACGAACACAACCTTCCCGTTTGAATGCGGCGCGTTGGCCCGGTGAGGCGGCCCGGTGAGGCGGCCCGGCGAGGTGGCGGGGCTTCACGACGCGTGGTCGTACGACTTGTAGGTCTGGCCGGACCGCTTGTGGCGCACCGTGCAGAACAGCAGCATCGAGGAGATGAGGCCGAACAGCTGCAAACAGGCCGTCGTTTTTACCTTGTAGGGAGAGACTTGGAGAGCGCCAGAAGATCGGTGGAGACGGTCAAAATCCCGGACGCGTTTTGAGCCCCAGAGTCGATAAATGGGACTCGAACCGAGCGTGTGACCCCACCAATGGACTGCTCTCTGAACGAGGAATTCATTGGTGGGGTCACACGTTCGGTTCGAGTCCTGTTTAGTGACTCTGAAGCTCAAAACGCGTGTAGAATTTTGGCCGCCTCCACCGGTCTTCTGGCCCACTGTGCGCCGGCGGGTAGGCAACCCTTCGTTCGGCCGCGCGGCGCCGAGGACCTCGCGATACCCCGCGCGCAAGCGGCTTGGCACGTTGGCGTCTCTCGCGCACGGGGTATCGCCATGGCGATGCCACGGCCGCCGGGGCAGCTTCGCGACGCGTACTGCACGTACCTGGATGAATGCGACGACCAGGCCGACGATGCCGACGATGTGCAGGCGGTCCAGGAACCACATCTGCACTTGCTCCGAGCAGCCCTTCTGGTACCACATGTCCGGCGAGCCACTGTGGCCGCAATCTGCGGACAGGACAAACTTGGTTTCACCGCGGAGCTCGCTTCGCGTAGCTTCGCGCAGGGTGCCGCCGGGGTGCGGGACGCCTACCTGTGCTGTTGGCGAGCCCGAACTGGCGCGTACCTGTGGTGTTGGCGAACTTGGAGATGCAGCACGAGTTGGGCACCCACTGCTCCTTGGGCCAGGCGTTGATGTTGTACCAGTCGGTGTACTCCTGCACGCCGCAGCAGTGGAACTGCGCAAGGCAAACATTCGTGTTTGAAGAACCGCCGACGCGAACGCGCCAAAACAAAAACAACAGGGGGCTTACCTCACGGTGCACGTGGGACCACAGGTTGTGCAGGGCGTTCTTGCTAGAGGAGTTGTAGTGGAAGCGGATGCCCTTCTGCAGCTCGTCCACCATGAAGGCGCCCAGCCCGGTGCGGTACACGAAGGCCAGCGTGGCGAACATGAACTCCACCAGGAACATGAAGATGACCAGGCTGAAGTACTGCAAGGGAACCACAGTGTGAGACGAGAGCCTTGAGATGGGAATAACTAAGTAAAAAGTTGTTTAAAGCTTAGTAAAAATTAAGTAAAAAAGAGTAAAAATTGGGTAAAAGTTGAGTAAAAGGAGTAAAAATGAGGTTCTTACAGTAACGAGCATGCAGTGGCTCTGGAACCAGGCGCCGCAGCAGCCGAAGAAGGCCACCACGAAGGTGATGACGCCGATGGCGATGAAGGAGCAGTCGGCTGACAGCAGCGAGTACTGCGGCAGCAGGTTGGTGTAGCCCTCGTACGCCAGCCTCAGCCACACGCCCACCCCGAGGATGGCGCATCCCGCCAGCTGCAGCAGGGAACGGGATCGTTTTACCGAAGGGAATCAGAGACTTCTTCATTTCGCTCCGAGTGAAGCGCCGAAGCGCCTGCGAAGCGCGAGGTAGGCAACCACGCCACGCCGTGGTGCTGCGGTGTCGCCGGGGCGGCCTACCCGGCCGACGACAGGCGTTTTGCCGTCTTCGCTCTCTCGCGTGCCGCCAGTGCCGCACAGTGCACCCCCTGCTGCTGGACGAGCCCCTCATCACTCACCCACACGAAGACGTTCAGCGAGCAGAAGACGTGCCGGACGCACGTGTAGCCGCTTCGACCCATGTCGCTCTTGCGGGAGACACTGCAAAGAGGACAACGAACGGGAATTAGTGAAGCCCTGTTAACACTCTATATTTTCCCCCAAAACTGTTTTGCTGTCGTTATTTTTTCTTGTTTGAAAAATTTACAACTAAGATTCTTATTTCAAACTCGTAATGGCAAGGGTAGCGTCCTGTTGGTCCAGAAAGTAAATTCGACGAAGGCGGTGATGACGGCCGTTCGTCCTCTAATCAACACGTTCTGCCGGTCCGATGACTCCGAAGACCGATGTCCGCCTCGCGGGTTGTCATGACAACCAACCGCAGCGCGAAGCACCGCGAAGAGCAGCTCGGTTGGAAAAAAGGAAAAGGGGGGGGGGCGTGTCAGGGAGGCGGTCGGCCGGAACCGGAATCGGTGACGAATCCTCGGACTCTGGTCGTGATGAGGCGCGGCGCTGCGGCCGACACATTCCGAGCAGCGTCGCTCTGTCTCTCTCGCACTCGCGGGGAGTCCCGAGGGGGTGCGACAGAGACAGAGCGACCGCAGAGGGAATGCAGCTTTACCACTGCATCACTCCTCTCCGTGGCTTGCCGAAATTAAAACTGAAGTGCGCCAAGTTGGCGGCAGTGGCTGCGTCCGAGCTGCTGCAAGCGCTCGGTGCTCAGTGCGCCGCCACCGCAGAGGAGGTGCACACTTCGGACGCCGCCCCACGCCGCCAGCCCGAGCCAGCCCCAGCCGGGCCACAATGCATTAGCCGGGCCGCGCGGACGGACGGGACGACGGGACGGGCCACCACCGCCACCACGGCCAACCTGGGCCTGGGCCAGCCCGCCAGCCCGCAAGGACTTCATGGCGTGCTGGAGAACGGTTCCGAGTCGCTACACAGCGCAGGCACCGCGGCAGGTGTCAAGGCTACGGCACGGGTCGGGTCAGGTCAGGTTGGGTTCGGGTGTAGGTTGAAAGTCGTTGGCGGGGATGTGAAAAAATTCAGGAATGATCTTACGGCCTCAATTCCACCTCGTGACACTTTTGATAGAAACTCGAAGCAGGAGTGATCGAAGGAGCGCGCATCCCGACCGAGCCCGGCCTCCTCCGAGGTGGCACAGTTACAGTGCGCCAGTGCGCACGACCCGGCCCCGCCTCCCTCTACTCGCCGCGCGTGACGGGGCCGCCGAGGAAGGTTCAAGAAGGTTAGGTGAGGTTAGGACAAGCTGGGTAAGGTGAGGTTAGGAAAGTTTGAGCTATGTGAGGTTAGGACAAGTTGAGTTAAGTGAGGTTAGAAAGGTTTGGGCTAGGTGCAAGCTAGAAGATGTTAGGACAAGTTGTTTAAGTGAGTTTATGACAAGTTGGGTGAGGTGAAGTTAGGACAAGGTGGGTTAGGTGAGGTTAGGACAAGTTGGCTTAGATTATCCCACAGTTGGTGGCAGTCAAGCAGGCGCTACTTTCGCCTCAATTAACATCCCGATAAACGGCCGTGGCAGCGGCGGAACGAAAGTAGTGGCGCCGAGTGGCCCGCCGTTGTATTCTCAGGCGGGCCGTCCCATCGGAAGCGGGCCCGCCGTTCCCGCCGTAAAATTCGAACGCCTAATTGCAGAGCGTGCCACTGCAGGCTGATTCCGAACACTGTTCGACGGCCCCGTCTCTCTCGCTTCACTGGGGGAGGGAGAGCGAGAAATTGAAATTGAAATTGACAGGGAGAGGGAGAGAGAGAGAAAGAGAGACGGCTGTGCGCGGAATCGCTCTCCGCTGCGATGAGGGGCATGTAACGGGAGTGTCATTTCGGGGAACCTACGCGACGCGGCGACGCGCCGGCAGTACGCACAGTACGCCTTCTCCGTCTCCGTCTCCTCCTCCTTCCCCTCCTTCTTCTTCTCCTCGTTTTCCTCCTTGCTCCGCGATGAAAAGTCGCCGCGCGTCAAAAATGACAACAGAATGAGCCCTAATGCCGCCAAAGTGACCCCCGGGGATGACCTCCAAACGACCCGGCTCATTCCCGGCTCCATTTTAATGTCATTAGCAGCCTCGTGTCGATGTCGTGTTGACCCGGCGTGACCCACGGGCTCTCTCTCTCTCTCTCTCTCTCTCTCTCTCTCTCTCTCTCTCTCTCTCTCTCTCTCTCTCTCTCTCTCTCTCTCTCTCCCTCTCTCTCTCTCTCTCTCTCACTTTCTTTTCCCTCGCGTCCGTCTTCGCTTCCGCGCGCGGCGTATTCCCCATCGGCACATGGACGTGCAAATTGTCGGCAATCTGCGTCCTCGCCGTGACTGACCGACGGACTGACCGACGGACCGCCAAGGCAGCCAGGGCCACGCCGCCGCGCCGATGGCTGCGTTCCAGAACGCGTTCTAAAGCGCGGTCAGACGCGCGGTCAAAAGCGCAGCGCGGGGGCGCGTTCCGGAGCGCGCGCGCGCCTCCACCTCCGCGTTATGGCAGTTTTATGTCACCGACGGCGAGCGGCCAGCGCGGCCAGCGCGGCGAGCGGTGAATACTATGGCTGGGAAAAGAAATGGAGCCGACCGCTTCCTCGGAGACGCGGACGGACGCGGAGCGAGGGAGTTTCCTCTGCGCTTTCGTTCTTGATTCTTGCATGCTAAAGTGATGGGAAAGGGGAGCCGGGCAGCCGGAACAATAAAAAAAGGGGCGAGGAGCCTGCACCTTGGCCTGCACCGGCATGCCGCGCCAGGAGGACGGTATGGGCTGCAGCCGGTCCCGGAGCTCGTCCTGCTGTGCGTGCGTGTGAGTGTGCGTGCGTGTGTGCGTGTGTGTGTGCGCGAGCCTTTGTCGGCGTGATTGGACAGAATCCGAGCTCAATTGAGCGAGATTAGGCGCAGCTTTGACATTCCAATTCACTCGTCGGCCTATATATCGCACTGCATGGCGGCGCGGCGCATCGCGGACCGGGGACCTCGGGGCAGCGAGGACGCCGTCGAGGGGTGCCGTCGAGGGGTGCCGCGGAGCTGAGCAGTGCCCGTTGTCGATTCGGTTCCATAAGACAGCTTGAGCCAGTTTATACACCGTGGACGGCAGCGGGCAGTCGTCTGATGCCACGGAATCGCAAAGGATTGTTTCGTCGCTCTGCCTCTCTCGGACTCACGGGTCGTCCTGCAGGGGTGCCAGAGAGACAGGGGAACGCGCTTTCGGACCACCGTCCTCGTCTGGCACACTGGCAACAGCCGTTGGCGGCGTGGCAGGGAAGTGGCCCAGTGCGCTGCGGTGCGTCTCAAAAGCCCCAAAGCATACTCACACGTACGAGCCGCGGGCGGCCATGGCGGGCGGCGCGGCGTCGCAGTGCTTGGCAGTGCTTCGCAGTGGTCCGCGGGCTGCAGTCCGCGGGCTGCCACCTCTGGCCCCGACGGCCGTGCACTGCCTTGCCTAGGGCAGTGCGGACAGGCTGCCAACGCGACGGCAGCAAAACGTATGTCCCTGTGTGACGCCGGCGGGGCGGGGCGCGTCCACTGGCCGGCTAGCCTAGCCCAGGGCGACCAGGGCCTGCTCGTTGCCACTCGCCTCCCAGCTCGCCTCCCCTTTTCGCGGTTGGCCGCCCTGGGTAAACGGTGCACGGCCCGGCACGGTGCGCCAATCAACCGGATCACATCACGTCAAGTTGGCAACACTCGCCGGGCCGCCGCCGTCCGCCTGTCTGTCCGTCCGTCTGTCTGTCTGCCTGTTGTCTGGTCTGTGCCTAGGGCAGCCCAGGGCAGCCCAGGGCCCCGCAGCCTCGCCACGGCCCTCCCCCGACTACGGCATAAAGTACAGCAAGTGCTCCATCCGGCGGACAACCTAGCCACGCGACCGCCGCGACCGCACATACACATGTACGCTCGTACGTGCTTACACATAAATACATTCATACATACACACACATACAACAGCGCCCCCCCCCCCCCGCCCCACACACACTAAAGACAATTTCAAATCCTCGCGCCACTTTTGGAACCCGCTTTCTTCCTCGCCATCCCATTATTCTTTTCATTTTTTCGTCGTCGTCGGGGTGCCACGCGTCGCCACGCACTGCCACGCACTGCTACCCACCGGCGGCTGAGGTCGTGCTGGTAGTCCTCGCGCCAGCCGCCGCTGCTCCGTCGCCAAGCGTCGATCAGTTGACTCGGCATGGCATGGCCCGGTGGACCCGGTGAGCGCGGAGATTCGGCACTGGCTGCTGCGATGCACTCGCTCACTCACTCTCCACTCGCGCACTCTCTCAGTGCATTGCGCGCGGCACTGTCAGGCTGCAGCGCCGCAGACTCCACCACGACCTCGCGCACCGAGCTCGCAACACTCACTGGCGGCGTGGCCGGCGTGGCCGCACTCCGCACGGCACACGCACAGTTTGGCCGTGTGAATTGGAGCTCTACTGTGCCGCCGGGGCGTACCGGGGCGTGCCGCGGCGTGCCGGGCCGAGCGCCACGCCGAGCACGCCCGCAATCGCACACGTCCGATCGCACGCCCCGCCCCGCCCCGCCCCGCCCCGCCCCGCCCCCACCTCGCCGGGCGCTTGCCCTTTCTCCAGGCGCCCCACCTAGAGTCAGTCTAGTGTAGCGGCCTAGGCAATGCGCAGAACGCCTGCCAAGTGCAGGGTAGACCGTCCCGTCGAACACGGCTGTGTGGCGTGCCGGCCTACCTCGCGGGCGTTCCCAGCGCGCCTGCCAAGTGCAGGGTAGGCCGTCCCGTCGAACACGGCTGTCTGGCGTGCCACAGGGTGGCCTACCTCACAGGCGTTTCTCATGTCTTTTTTCTCTCATTATTACTGAGAGGGCGATAGTTATAGTGTGCAACCTCGTGAGCAAAATCAGCTCAAAAATTCGCTTTCTTTTCCGAATGGCTCTACCCGAGTTTGGAGTTGTTCCACCCGACAATGGCTCGTCCGGGGCGTTGGCCGTCTGAATGTCTGAATGCAGGCGGAAGGCGGCGACGGGCTGCCATAAAGGCAAGGTGGCGCAGCTAGGCAAGGGCCACGCCGGCCGGGCCATGCGGAACGCTTGCATCACGCTATGATAACTGTATTATTGGAAGCGTATTGTCTACTTGACGGCGATTGCGAAGTGGGTTATCCCATCCGCCGGGGGCCGCAGGCCATGCAACCTGCACACTCACAGTCCACTCCACTGCTTTATGAAAATGAATGTGAAAAAAATTAGCCATGCTAACGCTATGCGGGGTCGGATTGCGATTGCGATTCGCGGTCGCCCCGTTCCACTGGGGAGCGCCGCGCGCCCCTGGAGCCAGAACTTGAACTTTAGGGTCGGGTCGAGAGAACTCCACTGGTCCGCCAGCAGACCGATTACGAGGCGCGCTCGCGTCACTCTGTCTCTCTCGCACCTGCTCGGGGCGCCTCATGAGTGCGAGAGAGACAGGGCGGGCGGTCGCGTGTCCCCGGCTGGTTCAGTCAGGTTTCATCTCCAGCACGCCGAGCACGCCGTCACAGTCGTCATCGCGGCGGCCGCGCCGGCACTGTATTAGCGGCTCAAATGCGAACTTCCGGTGTTCGCTCGCTGCCAATTGAAGGCCCATTTATTTCGTGCTTGCTGCCCGCCGTCCGCAGTCCTCGCGCAGTCCGCACCGCGTTGGCGCGCCGCGCCCCGCGTTGCGCGTGGGTCCGTGCCACCCTGGTGCCGCCATGGTGCCGCCCGGCCCGGACCACCCCACAGTGGGCCAGAAGACCGGTGGGGACGGCCGAAACCCTAGACGCGTTTTGAGCTCCAGGGTCTCTAAATGAGACTCGAAACGAACGTGTGACCCCACCAATGGATTCCTCGTTCGGAGAGCAATCCATTGGTGGGGTCACACGTTCGGTTCGAGTCCCATTGAGCGACTGGCAGGTGACAATCTGACAATCGCACCGAGAGTCGACTTGGAGACGGTAAAAAATAAATGGCGCTTATTCGCGCTCGCTAGCGCGTGTGCTCTCGGTTTTCGACTTGCGTCAGCCGCCGCCATTACGCCCGATTTCTTACGAGGGGTTCCTTAAAAAGCCCGAGCCCCATCCTCGCCGAAGCTACGGCGTAGCCCTGACCTGCCAGTCCTGCTTCGTGTCTCGAGGAGACGGCGCGAGCGAGGGGGAGGGTGAGGGGGGGTGGGCGGAGCGCGGGGCTCGCTGGCTAGACACAGCGGCCATTTTTTGGCTGACTCGTTGACTACGGACCGTGATTTTATCAGCTCACTCTGCCAGGAATCCCTTCTGCACTCAAAGGTCATGTGCCCTTGCCCTTGTGTTGCGGTGTGGACGACGGGCCAGCATTTTTCAGCCGCTCCCTCCAGAAAGGTTCGGGATTTCCTGGGCATTCTGATGGACAACGTTTACTTAATCAAGATTGAGCTTTGTTGTCTTGGCGCTGAGGCTTGGTCAACGTTGCAGCGGTGAGCCGGGGCAGGGTCACCCTGCTATTTGATCAAGTGAAGAGGGCCCCATTGACTTACTCCACACTGACCCAGAGCCCGCTGCTGTCAATCAAAGACCAAGCCGGCCGGACAGACAGACAGACCAACAGCCAGACAGACAGACCGCACCTTCCCAAATACGCCAGACAGTCTGGCCGACATTGCTCTGTTCAAGTGTATTCGCTATGAATAGGCTGATGGGAACCGTGCGAACAAAGATAGGGCCAGCGACGGCGACGCGGCGACGGGCTTGTGGGTCGCGGTTCGGCGAATCACGGCGTTTGATTTCCAGTTGGCGCTGCCTCCGTCGCACTGGCGTGAAGGTGCGAGAGAGAAAGGGGCGACAGGCGGCGCACCGTTCATCGCGCGTTATTCGACCCGTCACTTAGAGGCATTAACGCCGAATCCAGGCCAGGGGATTAGAGACGGCCCGCTATCAAGAGGCCTGCCAGAACCGTAGGGATGCTATTCATTCAAGACGGAAGATTCCCGTGCCGATTCGGCGCACTAAAGCAGTGTGCTGGCGTGTCCGCGCGGGGCTGGACGTCTGGGCGATGGACACACAGCAGGGCCAGTGGGAGAGGGAAGGGGCGAGGAGGGGGTGGCTTGTCTGACATTTTCCAAGAGTGCATCTAATTTACGCCCCGTGAGCTCCGCCTCGAGCACAATGCCGTCCAGTGGGTCAGCGGAGGGAGGGGGAGGGGGAGGTTTGGCCGGCGGAGGGTGGCAGGCAGCCCTTGGGGCGACCCCAAGCCTCGAGGCACTTATTCTACACCTGTCCGCGCGGGGGCACGACACTGTCGAATCCAGGACAAAAGCATTTCCCCACGCCCGGAGCATTCCTCCAGACCAAGAAGTGCATTTCCAAGTTCGACTTGTTGTTGTCCTGAGCAACGCTAGTCAGGCTCGCCTTTTGACGCCCCAAGCCGGAATACCTGATAAGTTGGCAGTGCCGACGTGACCCAGGACGGCCAGGACCTCCCGGCGGCCTCCATTCCCGCACGTCCGCGCCGAGCACATGTGTGCCGTGTCGACGGCGGGGCGGCGGGGCACCGCAGGACTCCGTCTCTCTCACACTCACAGGGCGCGCCGTGCGGGTGCGAGAGAGACAGAGCGACAGTCTGCCGGCGACACCTCCGGCATTCGGGAGCGAAACGAGGCGCGGGCAGTTCGAAAGTGAGCGGCCCCGCGGGTGGTAAACAAAGGGGCGAAAACAAAAACAAAAGCACGGCGCCGGGAGTCGAACCCGCGACCTGGATGCGAGTAATGGCACCGGCTTCTAGGAGATGGCCCCGTTCTGGAGGACCCGGCCTGACCCGGCGGGCTGGCTATGCCGGGCTATGCAAATCCAGCCGAATACCCGGCGGTCCTTCGGGTCGACCGGACAGTCCGGCACGACTAGGCGCCTCCGTTGGTGGGCTCGGGAAAGGACCCTCCTCGGCGCGCACACGCACACATACACACACACGCACAGCCTGCACGCGATTCCAATCCCATTACGTGGATTCGTGAAGCAACCGAATCAACGGGTACATCTCATCGAACGTAGTTTCCTCCATGACCCAACAACCCTGAGTCTTGGTCACGGCCTTCTTGGTCCGCTCCACCTTACTGCGCCTGGGAGGTAGGCAGTCACTGCTCGCCCGCTTCGCGGTCAAGACTAAAGAGCGCAGCGTCGCCCTGCGGCTCGCCCTGCGGTCAGCGTGCCGGCCTGCAAAGTGTTGCAGTCTTGCCAACACGAGCGCACTCCACTAAAGCGCACTGCAACGAAATTTTCATTTGTTTTAAACGTTGCTTTTATTCGCACTATCTAACCCGATCTAGCGTGCCGCCCGCGTCACGGTCGGGGGTTCGAATCCCAGCGGTCTCTCGCTCCCCGCGCTTTTGAGGTTCACACACGTCCCCGGCGCCGCCCGCGCGAACGAGAGAGAGAGAAAAAGAGAGAGAGAGAGAGACTCTGACATTCGCCGCCGTCTCCGTCCCGCTCACGGCGGCCAAATGTCTCTCTCCTCTCACGCCACCTTATCTTTCACCCGTAATTACGGTACACTGCCGGAAAATAAATGAGGCATCGAAAATAAAACAATCGACGGGGTGAAATGTAAATCGCGGCGTTGCGGCACAGTGGGCCAGAAGACCGGCGCCGGCGGCCAAAACTCGAGACGCGTTTCGAGCTCCAGAGTCGCTTAGCAGGACTCAAACCGAGCGTGTGACCCCACCAATGGATTCCTCGTTCGGAGAGCAGTCCATTGGTGGGGTCACACGTTCGGTTCGAGTCCCATTCAGCGACTCTGGAGCTCAAAACGCGTCCGGGATTCCGACCGCCTCCACCGGTCTTCTGGCCCAGTGTGCTGGGCGTGTCGCGTTGATTACGAATTGCGCGCGACCTTCACCTACTGCGCCGACTGCGCCGAAACAAACACAGCTGGTGCGAACCGGGCGATAAGCATGGAGGCATCAAGTGTCCCGGCGAGCCGGATCCTCGTGCCGATCCACGCGGCGCGCTAAAAATACAAACGCCGTTCGTTCGCTGTGTACAGTGTGCGTTCCTTCTCGTCGTCCGTCTCTTTTTATTGGATTCGCGATTCATGTCGACAGGAACCAAACCTGCTTCGCGAGTGTTAGTTTTGCTTTCGGCCCATGCGACCTAACCACACCCAACCTTTCACATAAGTAGGGCGGACAGTTCAAAAATCAGAAAAATAAAATTATCTTTGAAATGAAGATTTTTTTTTGTGAGAGTCGTCGCCGAGCCAGCACGGCGTTTATAGACAATAAGCCTCCGCGGACGCCACCTGGCGCCGCGACTTCAGACCCTCAGCAATAGCGCGGGATTTTTTTTTTATTTTTTTAAACGGTCCACGAGGCCTACTTACGATCAATGCTGGACGACGAGGAGGGTTCGCGTGCCCGCGGCCAGCCTGCAACCGGGATAGGAATCAGCGGTTAGTGTCAGTCAGGGCAGAGCCGGGCAGAGCGCACAGTGGGCCAGAAGACCGGCGCCGGCGGCCAAAACTCGAGACGCGTTTTGTCCCCCAGAGTCGCTAAACAGACCTCGAACCAAGCGTGTGACCCCACCAATGGATTGCTCTCCGAACGAGGAATCCATTGGTGGGGTCACACGTTCCGTTCGAGTGCTATTTAGCGACTCTGGAGCTCTGCACGCGTCTAGAGTTTTGTCCGCCCCCACCGGTCTTCTGGCCCACTGTGCGGGCGAGGTCCTGGCGGGGCCTGGCACAGCCATCAGGCGGGCCGGGCCCTCAAAAGGATAGCGGGCCCTGGTTCCCATCGTCTCGACCGCCGATGTGCGGCCTACGACGACGATGACGACGATGACGCCCAGAGAGACGGCTTCGGTTCGTCATCTGTCCACGGCGGCCATAAAGCAGTGTGGCACACTCTCGTCTCGCAGGAAAGCGTGCCAAGGAATGCCGAATCGGACCTCCTTCAGGCGCCGATGTCTCGAGAACAGTGCGCGCTGGGGACACCTTTAATTCAGAATTGAATTTTCTCACGCTTTGTCTTTTGCACAACGCCACCGTTTTAGAGGCACAGCCACATTCAATTTTTTTGTGCCGAATTGGGCACCGCCTGTTTTTTGAAAATCAGTGCAGCGTTGCAAGAAGGCTGAAGCCCCGCAACGCAGCGTGTGCGACAGAGACAGACGGCCGGCACGCGTCGCGAGGCGGCGAGTCAGACGGAGTAAGACGATCCCGGATAATTGCGTTGTCGCGACGCAACAAGTGGACGCGTGGCTGCGCGTGGGCCAGGCCAGGCCAGCCCAGGCCTGCCGGCTCGCTCCGAATCAGTCGCGCTGTCTCTCTCGCACACGGGGGACGCCCCACGGGTGCAAGAGAGACAGAGCGTTGTTCGGAGCGAGCCGGCAGAGAGGGAGGGCGAGGACCCAGGCCGTCGCATGCAGACAGGGTCCGCCCACCGCGCCGCGCCCCGCCCGGCCCCGCCGACGATCGTTCCGAAATCGCCTGCCCTTCGTGTGTCCAGCGTGTCTAGCGTTTCTAGTGTCGGAGCGTCAACGCAGGGCGCAGCGCGCGCCGCCTCGGGCAAGTGCCTTGATAAGATAAGGACCGCTATCAGGGCCGAGGCGGCCGAGGCGCGCCTGGAGTCCAGCCAGGCCTGGGCCAGGCCGGCAGCGGGAACGTCGTCAGGTGCAAGGACTCTCCGCCGCAGCCTGTTTTCGAAGGGGAAAAAGCAGTGTGAACCGCCGCCGCTGCTCACCAGTGGATCTCATTTCCTCTCTCTCTCTCTCTCTCTCTCTCTCTCTCTCTCTCTCTCTCTCTCTCTCTCTCTCTCTCTCTCTCTCTCTCTCTCTCTCCCTCTCTCTCTCTCTCTCTCTCTCCCTCCGGTCGTATAAGTGTAAGTACACAGGAAGCTGGTGCTGGTCCAGCATAGCGGGCCATGAACCGAGCGAGGGAGAGGTGAGGCCGGGCAGGCAGCCGTGCTGGGAGAGCGCAGAGAGCGTTCAGCACTCAGTGTTGCCACCATTAGGTAATGAAATGACGGGCAGACCGCAGAGCGGCAGGGCTGCAGGGTCGCCGCGCGCTTTTGCCCTCCCCACACTGTTTTCAAAACGGGCAGAATTCACCGAAAGTCGCCCGCGGGAAAAAGGAAATATCAAGGCTTTCTTTCACACTGTAAGTGTTGCGACTACGGTACGTCTCGAGCTCAGGCGCTTCGCGCCAAACTGGGAATTCCCTGAAGCAGGCACCACGCCGAGCGAGCAGGGCGCAGGGCCTCTCCCCGATAGGCGGTGCAGCGGAGTTGAGGCGGAGGGGGGTAGTGCAGGCGTGCGCCGCGCCAAGATGCACGCGAACAAGGATCCATCTGTTCGCCTTCTGCGGCGACTCCACCGCGCATCCTGGATCCTGGCCATCCTGGCGCAGTGAAGGGTAGACGCGGAGGTAATTGGGCAACGAGAAGTCCGAGGCAGGGGAGCAGCCGAATGCACGAGCGGAGAGAGGACGTCAGGAGCAAAATTATCCTCTCGACTCGTTGGCCGGCCTCACGGCCCAAGCACGGGTAACAAGAACGAGCCTTCCACGGTGGTGGGTGCGTTCTCTCCTCGGTGGCTGGCGATTCGGTTCGGCCACCTAGCGTCGCGCGCGCCATCTCGTGAGCGGGGAAAACCCTATCTCGCCCCAAAACGTGCTTCACGCTGGGCAGCCCCTAGAGAGCCCCGTGCCGCCACCGTATCTCCCTACACCGTGCTCCCCGATAGGCGGTGCAGCGGAGCAGAGCGGAGCGGACGGGTAGTGCAGGCGTGCGCCGCCGCCAAGATGCACGCGAACAAGGATCCATCTGTTCGCCTTTTGCGGCGACTCCACCGCGCATCCTGGATCCTGGCCATCCTGGCGCAGTGAAGGGAGACGCGGAGGATAATTGGGCAACGAGAAGGTCCGGAGGAATGGGGAGCAGCCGAATGCAGGCGGAGAGAGGACGTCAGGAGCAAATATTATCTTCTCGACTCGTTGGCCGGCCTCACGCCGAAGAGGGTAACAAGCAAACAGCAGAGTCTTGTCTTCCACTGTGGTGGGTGCGTTCTCTCCTCGGTGGCTGGCGATTCGGTTCGGCTACCCATCCATCTATCCATCCATCCTCTCTGGCGGGGAAAGGCACGCGGGAGAGACGTCGAGCGGTGCGGCCTGTCAAATCGAGTGGCGCGACCACACTGCCGCGGATGAGAAATTCACCGCGTGACTTCACCGGCTTTGCTCCTCCCGCGCAGAAAGGCAGTAATTGCAAACCGGTAGGGTAAACCGACCCGCCGCCGCCGATGCCCCACCGCGGTGCGACAGAGACAGACAGCTAATTCTCTGCCGCCGGGGCTTTGGCCCCTTTGGCCGCAAAGGGCCCTGCTTTAACAAGACCAGCTGCGCGCCGGGCCGGCCCGGGCCGCCGTTGCGTGGGCGCCATCTGTTTACAAAGTCTTGCCGTGCGGACGGCGGACTACAGCGGACGGCCAGAGGAAACTGACCCGAAACGACCGGACGGAGGACGCGAGTCCGACATGCCCACACTGCGAAAACACATAGTGGGCCAGAAGACCGGTGGAGGCGGTCAAAACCCCGGACGCGTTTTCAGCTCCAGAGTCGCTGAATGGGACTCGAACCGAACGTGTGACCCCACCAATGGATTGCTCTCCGAACGAGGAATCCATTGATGGGGCCACATGTTTCGAGCTGGAAACGCGTTTTAGAGTTTGACCACCTGCAGGCCCACCGTGCACCGACCTGGCGCTCCAACGTTTAGCTCGGAGAGCAAAACTGTGTTTTCGCCATCTTTGGGTGTGTGCCGTTCGACCCTGCAGTAGAGCGATTTAACATCCGGGTCTCGAAGGAACCACCACAATCGTGACAAAATTTTGAATGGGAGAAAGCGGCCGCCCAGCGTCCAGCCAGCCGGTCCAGCACCGCGCCGGACAGCGCGACCGCGGCACTAATATGGAGCAGGCAAACGCAGTAACTCAGCGCGCTGCACTTTTCTGTCGTAAAATGCAGCGCGTTGCCGTGACGCAACACAAGCCCTCCTTTGAGGCGGCCAGGCCCGCGGCGCCGGCCCCGCGGGCAAAGCCAGGCAAAGCGGCGCGGAGCACCGGGGTGTGAATTCAACAACAGTCTCGGGTGTTCGGGGAAGAAGAAAAAACCGCTAGAAACTGGCACACGCCACTGTAAACAACAGTGTGTCGCGGCGGCGGGAGGCGGGGCCATCGTTTCTTCGACGCGGTGCTGCCGAGTGCATCGGCCACTTGGTCGCGTTGCTGCTGCACCTGGACCAGTGGACACTAGTCCACTGCGCTCGGTCCTGCTGGACTCGGCCCGTCTCGGCACTCTGTCTGCTAACGGGTCATCTGGAGTCGTAGACGTCGTAGACTAGACAGTCAGTCCTAGATGAGGACGGCGTGCACGGCGTGCCTCGGCGAAGCGAAGGCGGTAAGGCTGGGCACGGCCGCAGGCACGGCCACAGGCACGGCCCGGCGTGGAGCACGTGAAGCTCGCTTTCGACTCATTTTCAGTATCTCACTCCCTCCGCGCCAGCCTCAAGCAGCCTGCGGCAGTCCCGCCACGTGACGAGACGCTCCGCTGCGCTCCCCCCACACGAAGGCGAAGTGACGAACACAACGTGACGAAGTGACGAGCACAAAGTGACGAAGGTAAGAGTCAAGGGGATGAAGTGACGAACACAACGTGACGAAGAAGAAGACACGGACACAGAGTGATGAAGACAAAGAAGTGACGAATAACGAACTGACGTGAAGTGACCCAGAGTGACCACACTACGAAACGGCTAGCGACTGTCCATAGCTGCACTGCGCGTCCGCGTTTTTCGCCCGTTGGCGGCTAGGCTAGTCGGCCGAGAATGGCGACCTCTTGCAGTGCAGGACACTCCAAGCGCGGCGCAGCACAGCGCACGGCGCCTCTACAGTGCCGCGACCTCGCGGTGAACAGACGGCAGTGAGGCAAGGCGGTGAGGCGGCCGGCCCACACGTCGCCGCGTCGCCGTCCGAAACGGGAGCGCCATGAATCACAATGAATCGTCTCTGTTTAATCTGGGCGACAGAAAAAACAGAATGGAATGGTTTACAATTATCGTAAGCGCATTGCATCCATCCTGCTGGCCTTCCGGGGGCGCGGCGCGGCGTGGCGTGCACCGCTTTGAATGGCATTCCGATTCCTATCAGTGGACCGACTCGTCGCTCTGTCTCTCTCGCATCTACACCGGGCCGCCCCGTGAGTGCGAGAGAGACAGAGCGACGAAAACGACGCCCAGTCTACGGTAGCAGCAGGGCAGCCAGAGTGACGCAAGACGACAAAGCCCTCCGGAGGCACTGCAGGCACTGCAGGGCACCGCAGAGGCTGAGGGGCCCAGGGACCGAAGCGGGCTGGGTCTTATTGTTCCCACGTCC